ATATGACTTTGTAAGTTAGACCTTTGACCAAAGTCCTTCAGACAATATTCACATTCATAAAGCTTAAGATTACGATGTATAATGTTAACATGAGATTGTAGTGCTTTGTTTTCTGTATATTCTTTTTCACAAAAGTCACATTTATAGTTTTTCAAACCTTTGTGCACTGTATCAATATGCTTTGAATAATTACATTTTTGAGAAAACAATTTGAAACATTCCTTGCATTGGTAATTTTTAATACCTTTGTGTACAACATTTGTATGATTTTGAAGATGGCTATTTCTAGCAAATCGCTTTTTACAAAGTTTGCATTTGTATTTTCTTGAGTTTTGATGAACTTGTTTAATGTGCGCTACGAGATTAACTTTAAGTGTGAATACTTTGCCACATTCTTCACACTTTTGTTCTTTATGAACTTTGTCTATATGAATTTTCAAAGTAGAGGCATTTTGGCATACCTTATCGCATATCTCACAAGTATTGTCATTTCTCCTAATATATTTCCTTTTGGAACCAGGAATTTTGGTATGTGGTATGTGTTCATGACTATGCTGATTGTCATCGTAACGAAATCCTTTCTGTATTAAAATTATCAACTCCTTGTCGACTTTTCCTGTTTTAATACTTTTTTCAACTTTTACATTTGGTACTGAATGTTGCAATCCCATAGGCAATGTTTCAGATGTAAGCGAAGACAAATTTGGTTTTTCATCGTGGCATTCAAATTCTATCATCACTTCACTCGAGTTCAGGTAATTGTAGTCCACGTTGGCTTCTGTCTTGATCGTTTTATCAAGATTTACATTTGGTAAAAGAGGTTTCGACTCAGTGGGAAATATTGTAGATGATAGCCGAGCCAAGTCTGGTTTTTCATCGTGACATTCAAATTCAATCATCATTTCACTTGAATTATCAACATAACCTCTTTCAGGAAGAAAATCAAACGTTTCCTGCTTCATGATGCAAAGGAAATGGATGAATTAAACTTCTCAAAGTTTTGATAAAAACTTAAACGATTCACAAAATTTTGTATTATTTGTAAACTCCACTGTTGGTGTCACAAATTATTGAAATATTGAACGAATTACTAAACGTTATACGACACGTGCACCAGACTACTAATTAACGTTTTAGAGACTTTCACTCTGTACAGCGTTCAAATTTCACTGATACAATACTATTTCTTTTCTAACCTGGCCTCGTGAGAGTTTGTGAGCACTTTTTGCAAAACTATCGAACTTTAACTGTGCGCAGCAGGTATCGACTATCACTCTGCACTGGTCTGAGACTGGCTTGAAAGTAGCAGAAGTTAGAAGTCTATAGGCTGTGGCGCAGCGTTGTCAAGAACTCGATCGAGCCATAACGATCAGCTGATCGACGCTCGACTCCACAAGCTGCACTGTTTTACCACGCGAGGCAGTGATGCCAACTGTGTACTATTTAAATTGAAGGTTTACAATAATGAAATAAAATTTGATTACGAACGATTTTGATTAAATGATTATAAGCGTTTATAAGTCATGAAATATACATCTTTTTGATTATTTGTATCATTTATATAATTAGGATCGATATAAGTTTGATAACATTATCATTAATGTGATGCCAATGTTCTAAATATAAAATAAAATAAAACATAATTGCAACTATCACAGCTATTTTCACACATGATTTTAAAACTCTAAATGCACCAGACATTAAATCAATATTACTAATCTTATCTAGAGTAAACGTTGAATTTACCTATTTACCTTCTTACTAGTAAAAAAGCTTACATAAACAGTCAGGAGTTAAACTTGAATAAAACATTGATCAAATTAGTCAATCATTTTATAAAATCATTTGATAATATGTGTTTGTATGAACTTAGTTTTATCAAAAAATATACAAATTTTGTTCAAAATAATGAGTTTACTCTGCTATTTTTTCAAAAAGTTTTTTATTCGATTTCTCTTATACAATAAACTCGTAAAAACTTGAACGCAAAGCTCAATTAATAATCTTTAGAAGGAGTAATAATGTATTAAGCCTGCATACAATATCAATATAATAAAAATATCATATGTAAGTATATAAGTTTTCTTATCCTATTTTCTAAATCATTCTTAAGAAATAATGAAGTTACAAAAAATCAAATTTAGACAGAACTAGAACCTATATTAAAATGAAGCAAAAAAACAAATTAAGATATGTTTTCTTGTGTTTTCGTTATTGATTGTATTATGTTGAGTAATACAGCAGGATCAGCTATCTGCTGCAGTTTTTCAAAATCAATGAGTGATCGTATATGAGCAGCAACAAACTTCATAACTTCATTTTCCAAATATTTAATTTGGTACTTGTGAGCAGCTATAAGAATTTGAATGACATTTTCAGTGGACAAATTAGCAGATAATAATTTTCCACACTTGATTTTTAAATTACTGATTTGATACTTTTCAGCTGCTTGTAAAAGTTTAAGAATTATATCTGTATCTGCAATTTCAATTTCACCTTTGTAAATGTATCGCAACAATTCAATTACAATATTGCGAGGAGTATCCATAATTTCAACAGAATTGTTTTTATTTTCCAACATATCATGAGTGAACATGGCTCTAAACACTGGACTGGCAGCAGCAAGTATAGCTTTGTGTATAGGGATATACTTTCCATCAGAAGTTTTTAGTTTAAAATCACTGAGTTCTTCATTGAGAAATAAGAAGTCAACGTCAAGTAGTTTACCTATCATTTCTTGTTCTGTGAAATTACCATTAGAAATGATTGATGTTTTATGTCCTGAAGAAACTGACAATTTACAACATATGATCATAGAACCACCTTTAGCAAGCAACTTCTGATAATTTTTTTTTTCATACAACTTTGGCCAACCCCAATTGGTGGTTTTGGCACTAAATTTTTCATGTAATGTTTGCCCATAAATACTTGATCCACCAACTTTAGTCAAAGTTGAAAATGTACATTTGCATACAAATTCTGGTTTTTTGTCATTCTTAATTGTGTGTAGAAATAATGATATAAATTGGCTGCATTTTTCATTTTCTCCTCCTGGATATAATTTTAAGTAAAACTTTCTTTCCGGATCATTGCTGAGGCTAAATTTAGGGGACGTTAAACTTTCCCCTGGCACATCTTTAATAATTAGACTGTAATCTTTGATTATCCATGTAAAAGTACAATTTTCCGTATGGAATTCAGTGGAAGCCACTATTTCGTTATCTTTTGACATATTGCGAACTTTTCATTAACGCTCGATATTTTTCAGTAAAACTTGAGTTAAATTAAATAAAAATAAGTAACTCTTGATGACTGTAGTGGGCAGTGGCCATAGATCCTACAGGATAGGTAGTGTAGTAGGTATAGATAATAGAACTAAGATATAACTTATAAGTAAGATAGTGGCGCTGTAGCTGGTTAGCACGATTGAGAAAATAGGCTGTTTTCAGAGACCGTCACTAACCTCTTCGCTCGAACAGCTGATTTGCCTGTAGGCATAACAAACCGAGCTTCCATTCACTTTATATGTTAAGTCGATTAGTTTGACTGCAAATTACAAATAAATGAGATGCTCTAAAAATATATAAAAAATATGTCTATGTAGAGGAAGACTTCATCTTTTCATCTATCGAAGCGGATTTTACGATTTCTCTTTAGTTATTACAAAAAAAATTGTTGAAATTTCGGTTATTTCGGAGTTTTACTCGCTGCTCGGCTGCTGTCAACACCGAGTTGCGCGTGTCCGTGATCGTTTTAGCGATATTTGAGATTTGATTTCATTTTTTTTTATCAATCTGCAATCATAAAATAAAAAATGGTGTTGAGGTGTTATGTAACAGGATGCAAAGCAAATTCCCAAAATGGAAAGTTTTCCTTCTTTTGTATACCAACAGGAAAGCCGAAAAATAATAGAAATTCTGAAGAATTAAGGGAACTGAGTCGAAAAAGGCAATATACTCATGCTTTAATATTTAAATGTATTTTCAAATATCGCTAAAACAATCACGGACACGCCCAAGTCAGTGTTGACAGCAGCTGAGTAGCGAGTTAGACTCTGAAATGACCTAAATTTAAACAATTGTTTTTGCAATAACTAAAGAGAAATCGTAAAATCCGCTTCGATAGATGAAAAGATGAAGTCTTCCTCTACATCGACATATTTTTTATATATTTTTAGAGCATCTCATTTATTTGTAATTTGCAGTCAAACTAATCGACTTAACATATAAAGTATATGGAAACTCGGTTTGTTGTGCCTACAGGCAAATCAGCTGTTCAATCCTGACCGTCAGTAACGCTTTGTGAAAACGCCCTATACGCTAATTTGTTGGCGAATGTCGTAACTCGTAAGCTTTTTCTATTCAAATGAACGATAAATTTGGATATACGGATTGCACGATTGCAAATTTATTAAGAAAATGTAAAAATGGATGAGTATTTTGCAGTAATAGTTAATTTTATTATTACACCTACAATATTTATACCCTCAAAGTTGTTTTTTTCAAGAAAGGGCGCTCTTTAATAAGAGTTAGTGCATATGAACACTTCTCAGATTTTACTCTCTCTCATTTTTTCTTCATTACCGATTCATTTTTTCTTCATTTTTAATAATCTAATAATTTGTTATGAATGTATATTTCAAATGGAGGTTGTCATGCAACATGATCAAAATATCGATTTTTTTGGCATTTTTGAAAATTTGAAGTCATTCAACGTCAGGATTGAGAGCACTTACGTAGCACATGGCGCTCAATTATTATACTATGCATTCCTTTTGGAACTTTGTTTTATTTTAAATTGTTTGGATCTGAACTAAACTACGTGACCCTAACGTATTTATTTTTCATTTCATAGCACATTATTTTTTTTTCATGTTCAACAAATTTGGCAAAATCTGGTAATTTTTGGGTCTTCATGTGAGATCCTTTAAATAAAATAATATGAAAAGATGATGATAGTTTTTATTTCATTTTATTGAGACTTTTCGAAGAATTCTTCAAATTAATTACATTTTGTGTAAAAAAACTAGTCAATTCAATTAAATCATAAATTTGAAATAGTTTATACAATGATCTAACTACAAAATTGTGTAACTGATTTCAAGCTTATAGCAAAATTTTAGTTTCATGTTGGACATAAAACTATTTAACATCCAATGATTATCATTATGAAACACTTACTGTATCACTATCAATTGCTTTTTGTAAATATGGAACATAAGCTTTTTAACAAAAGTGACAAGGGTTTAAAGATTATAGTTAAGATGTAATGTAAATTTCAATAAAGATATCAAATTTAAACTTTTTTTAACTTCCAAGCTAATTTTTAAAAGTAAATAAAATGTAGTTGAAAAAAATTATAATTTCATATGAGTGACACATTAAAATTAATTAAGTTACAAGAAACATAATTACTTCATCAAACTATTGTAAACTATCCTGAGAAAAACTGCGAAATATTTTATTTGGATTTTATCATTGATTGTATTAAGTTTATAAATATAATAGAATCATCCATATTCTTCATCTCTTCAGTATTAATAAATGATGATATGTCAGCTATTACATAGTTGGTAACTTCTTCTTTTAAATACTTTACATTATATTTATAAGACGCTACTAGAAAATCAATTGCATTTTTCTTGGATAAATTAGCACATAATATTTTTCCACACTTGATTTTCAAATTGTTAATTTGATATTTGTCAGCCACTGGTAGAAGTTGAAGAATAGTATCTGGTTCTGTTGTTTCAATTTCACCTGTGTAGATGTATCGCAACATTTCAACTAGAATATTTCGAGGAGTGTCAATTATCTGAACAGAATTGTTTTTGTTTTCCAACATATCATGAGTAAACATGGCCCTAAATACTGGACTAGCCACTGCAAGTATATATTTGTGTGCTGGGATATCTTCTTCATTGTCAATTTCTAATTTAATATCACTGAACTCTTCACTAAGAAACAATGAGTCCAATTGCAGTTTATCAGTAATTTCATGTTTATCAATACTGAAATTTGAGTAAATTGATGTATCTTCAGTAATTAATAACTGACAGCGGATAATCATGCAGTTGTTAATATGATAATTGTTTTTTCTTAAAAACTTTGCAGAACCACAATGGTTAATTGTACCATTGAATTTCGTACAAAATTCTCGCGTTTGGATACTCAATCCACAAACTGGAGTCAAAATTGAAATCGTTAATTTACATTCAGATATTTCTTTCATTTCGTCATGCTTACGTGAACGACTCAAGAATAATGATATAAATTCCTTGCAACTTTCGTCATACCCTCCTGGGTATAATATCAAGGAAAATGTTTTGTTAACATCATTGCCGAAGTTAAATTGGGGTGACCACAAATAATAACCTGGCACTTTAACAATTGAACTATAATCACTGATTGTCCACGTAAAAGTGCACTGATCCACATTCAATTCAGAGCTGGCTTCTATTTGTTTTGACATTTTGCACTTATGATGGATTCGATTCAATATTAAATATTTTGAGAAAAGTTTTAACAATAGTCATCAATACTATGAATAAGACCCACTCGTTTCACAAGCCGTTTTCAATCACGTCGAAAAGTAAGGCGAGCCGCGAGCGAGAAAAGGGGGTCACTTGATTTGCTTGCCGCTGCAGTGGCATAGTTCCACTCAGAAACACCAAACAACGGCGAATTTGCATGATTAGTAGCGACGCGTTGCAAGGAAATCGTACAACTATTCAAACAGAAAATTACTATAAATAGATGAAAAAATACGTACAAAAGCGGATTTTTTTCGTGAAAATTAATTATATTATCGGATAGAATTTATATTTTCAAAAATTACGTTGTGCGTCATTCGACTATGAGCTGATACATTATAATGAATATACTCAAAATATCATGTATTTTTTATTTCTTATAATATCAGCATAATAGAATAATTTGAAAATTTCTAATAAACTCTACTTCTAGTTGAACTTAAACTATCATTTAAAGTGAACTGGGATAAAATGAATGAGCTACCGATTTGTATGATCGCTTGAGAAAATGTACGTCCTGTACTTTTATTTTAGAAAATTACACACTGATACTGATCAAACATTTATAATTATTTCATAATTAATAACTTGCTACAGAGGTGAAATACAAGATTTTACCAAAACTAAAGTAATGGGGTCTTGAAATTTGTCATTAAATGCAAATGTATCAAAAATACTCTTATAATACTAAGGCAGACTTAAATTTGTATATATAATAAAATAACGAAAATCTTACAGCTCCATCCATCAATACTAAAAACTATTCTGTGACATGAAAAAAACTCAAGATATTTTTTGAGATTTCATCATTGATTGCATTAAATCAATCAAAATATCAGGATCATCTATCTGTTTAATTTCTTCAGAATTGAAAAATGATTGTATACGAGTTGTGACAAAATGTTTTACTTCATTTTTCAGGTACTCTTCATTGTATTTATACGCAGCTGTTAAAATTTCAATTGCATTAATCACTGACAAATTAGCACACAATTTTATTCCACATTTGATTTTTAAGTTATCAATTTGATACTTGTCAGCCACTGCTAAAAGTTCAAGAATCTCGTCTGTTTTAGTACTTAGAATTTTGCCAGTGTAGATGTATCGCAACATGTCAATCAGAATATTGTATGAAGTATCAGCTATCTCAATGGAATTTTCTTTGTTTTCTACCATGTCATGAGTAAACATAGCCCTAAATACTGGACTGGCTACAGCAAGTATAAATTTGTGGGCTGCAATAGATTTTACTGAGGAAGTATTTATTTTAAAATCACTGAGTTCATCACTGAGAAATAAAGAGTCAAATGTCAATCTATTTATCAGTTCATGATCTTTGATGTCAAAATCAATTGAAGTATCTTCAAATACTGATAATTGACAACGAATAATCATGGAGTTCATGTCATTATAATCCTTTTTTTTGTAGAATTCCGAGTATCCCCAACCAGGGCTTTCATTACTAACTTTTGCCTGAAATACTCGTTTATGAATAATTGATCCAGTCACTTCAGTGATAATTGAAAATTTGCATTCACAAGTAAATTCTTGTTTATTGTTAGTCTTGTTCCAGTACACATATAGTGATATAAATTGGCTGCTTTTTTCAGTTTCTCCTCCTGGGTATAATCTCAAGTAAAATTGTCTCTTAGCAGCATTGCCGAGACTAAATTTGGGAGATGATAAATATTTTCCTGGAACATCTTTAACGATTGAACTATAATTATTTATCGTCCACGTGATAGTGCATTGTTCCACATTCAAAGTAGTGCAAGCCTCTATTTCTTCAAATACTGGCATATTGCAATAATATTGCAATAACAAATATTAATACTTGGTCTAAAAAGTAAAAGTTACGTAATAATCAATGAGAACAATAAGCGACACTTCAGAATGATAAAATAGGAAGGAAGCGGGGTGAGAACTGAGGGGTCCCTTTGTTCGCGATGCAGCTCCCGCCAGCAGCCGGCCGCTCACGGCTCAACGGTCAACCGCCGTCCGTCAAAATTTACGCGATTGATAGCGACATACAGCCGTCAGATTATTGAACTATTTCGATAACAAAATTACAAATTGATTTTAATATAAAACGAATATATTGTTAAGCATTATGTCAATGAAAATTAGTTTTATTATCAAATAAAATTATACATTTAAACTGTTCCTTATATAAAAAAGGTACCGCTTTTCGATTATTAGAAAATAGATTATGATACATTATAAATAATTTACACTTAAGATTTATTGCATTTTCTTCATTAAGCCAGTGAAATAGAACAATATCATAAAAAAAGGTCTTGGAATTTATTTTCTTAGTTGAATTAAAATAAATACATGTGTGATTCAGTCTGAAGATCATTATTATTATTGATGTAGGTACCCAGTTGAAAAAAATTGCATGGATTTCTACGTGGATTATCCACGCAGATTCCGTGTGGAAAGTACGTGGATTCCACAAGGAAAGTGCATTGATTCTATGTGGAAACTGCGTGGATCATTTTTGTAAAAATCTGCCAAGATTTTTCGGTTATCTCTTAAAAACTTAATTCCCCGCTCGTACCCTTTTTCAAGGAATAATCGAAAAATCTTGGCAGATTTTTACAAAAATGATCCAAGGAGATTCCACATGGAATCAATGCACTTTCCTTGTGGAATCCACGTACTTTCCACGCGGTATCTGCGTGGATAATCCAAGTAGAAATCGACGCAATTTTTTTCAACTGGGTAACGACTAACAATAGAATTGCTTACTCATAGAGTAAGCTTTGTGACGGACCGATTTTCGACTTTCATAACTAATAATCGTAGAGTACTTTTACATATATATTCTTAAACTAGATCGAGTTGCTGACACATGTCTGTATGTGTGTGTGTGTGTGTGGATGTGTTTTTTTTTTTTTTTTTTTTTTGGAGAGGGCGTGGGCAGGGTAAAACCCTTGCACCAGTGGCCCTTCCGAACTCTGGCATGATTCCCACCGGAACCATCGTTAGATATTACTTCGGTGGGTGCCTTTTAGCAGTGCTGCTGCATCGACGTATTTGGTCATTTCCCTACATCCCCCATCCACCGCACGCCAAGGCGCAGTGATCAGGGGTTCAGGAACCGTGTCAACGCGTTGGTGATCCCCCGCTCGCCCCGCGAAGCCCTCATCCAGTGTCATTCCCGCCTTCCGGAGCCGTCTTTGTCGGTGGTCTCCCTTGTGCTGATGTTTCTAAATAAATATGTATGTTTCATTTTAGATAATCGTAACAAATTTTTAAAAATGATAATCGAATGAAACATTAAATTGTAATAAACAAAACGTAATTAAGGTAGGTGCGAAACATACATATTTATTTTTTCATTGTTACAAGATTAAAATGTGATTCTTAGTTACTAATTATTATTTAACTATTCAAGAAAAATATGAACATTTTGTGTGTATGAAATCGAAGATAGAAATTCCTATCGCATCATCTGATTAAATAAAAATCAAAATATTATATAATTTTTTATTGTTACAAGATTAAAATGTGATTCTTATAGTTATTAATTATTATTTAACTATTTGAGAAAAATATAAACATTTTGTGTGTATGAAATCAAGGATAGAAATTCCTATCGCATCATCTGATTAAATAAAAATTAAAATATTATATGTATACATTTATTTATTGAGTCCCACATTTTATCCTGAATGATATCATTTCGGATATCATTCGGATATCATTCGGATATCATATCGGATATCCGATCGGATATCCGAATGATATCTGAAATGATATCCTTATTTTAAGCCGGGAAGCTACTTGCCAATACATTGGCAGCGGTTTTTCAATATTCAAACTTCTATATGCTCAAAAAAAATTTTGAGAGCTTGATGTATCTAACTATAGGTTACAAAATAATGGTAAAAGTATAATCTTGTGTTGTGTAAAGTAAAATTTGAAAAACCTTCGACAGTTCCAAAAGTAAAATATGAATAATGAATATTACCGAATTCGAAAAACTGACAATTTCAGAGCAAAAGGAGTTTTTCTCCAGCCGTGAGTACCTAGTGTTTTTTTTTTTTTTTTTTTTTTTTTTTTTTTTTTTTTTTTTTTTTTTTTTTTTTTTTTNTCTTTTTTTTCTTTTTTTATTTTTTTAAGTTTTGTATACTAATTAAATCTCTCACGGCCCGAGTCACTTACTTCGATTTTTCGGCGAAGATCCAACGATGTTTTCCCGATGATCCAACGACGAACGCCACCGGGCCTCGTGGGGAATCGAACCCTCGAATCTCCATATGTCTGGCCAGAACCACATGGAGACTGGAGCGTTAAACCACTTACCCACGAGGCCCATCACTTATAAATGTAAAAAACTTCTACATTTACAACGTCTGAAGCAGCTTATGCGCGCGCTACAAGTCATTGAAATCCACCTTCGAGCTCACGCGTAGATATAAGTTGTAAATACGAGACGAACCCCATACACCTTGCCCCTAGCACACATGTATGTTCTTCTCCTATACACTTTAGCAATTCAGGCCTAAAAAAGAGAGAAAAGCAAAGCGAGAACATCAGAGTGACCAACAGACCTGAGAATCAAGACGATACAGTTAACAGTACTAATCAAGAGACAGATACTCCTCAAGAGTACACGAGGAGAAACGAAATAAACGAAAAAAAAATTGTTTTTTCTCGGGAAAATTTTTTTTTCTTTCTTTTTCGTATCGTTTGGTTGAGAAATAATTTATGATTGAAACTGTTTTGTGAACAAATTAGAAAAGGTGGTATTAATATTTCCAATAGCCCGCGAAAAACAAAAAAGTCCCAGAGTACCCTTATAAAAATTTTCTATAGGATCCCGCAAAATTCCTACTGGAATCCTATAGGACCCCTGTAGGAATTTTGCGGGATACTATAGGAAATTTATGTAAGGGTACGTGTAATTAGTGTCCGAGGCGAAGCCGAGGCCGATAAACACGTGCTCTGGGGCTTTCTTTTTTCGCGGCATCGGCCTGTATACTATTATTCATACACAGTGGCAAATAATTTATAATTGAAACTGTTTTGTGAACAAATTAGAAATGATTATATTAATATTTCCAAATTATTTTCAAGTCAAAAAAAAAGTATGAGGAAGCTACTTGCCAATACATTGGCAGCGGTTTTTTTTTATTTCCCAATGTGCCTCGAGTGAATGAGTGGTTCAATATGAGTACAATTTTGTGATGATTTGTTGATGTGTACGCAAACATAATGCGCAGCATCTCTCTTTCAGTCATTTTATTGAAACACACGTGCTGATCAACTCATCTCATTATTATATCTATAGTTATTATTTATTCACGCAGTCACTGCAAATTTAAATTTTAGAATTTAATGTACCATGAACTAATTTATTGCTGATAGTCAATTAATTTAAATAACAAGAATGTCAATAACTCTCCGTAACGGTTTCTTCAAAAAACGATAATTTGTCATGTCGCTTTTCAGAATCATCCATTCACAAGTACTGCAATTCGGAGCTCAAGGTACCAGCCGGCGAGGGTGGATTCCTTCAATCACCGGGCTACCCTCTCTACTATCTCGGCAGAATCAGTTGCGGCTGGAAGTTTCGCGCGCAGCCCGGCCAACGGATCGTGCTGACCTTTCGCGACTTCAGCATCCGAGGTTTGTAACGAGCCGCAATATCTCGAATCGCGTCGATCCTTTGCACCGTGCGTAAAAACTGAAGAAAAAAATGTTGTTGTTTTTTTTTTCCTTTCAAAGATCCGGACAAAGACGGCAGCTGCTCGGACGTGTTGAGGGTTCACGACAGCGGCAACACACTGTACGAGTCTTGCGGGACCAAGGCCGGCGTGGAGGTCGTCTCGGACACCAACGTGGTGACGATCAATTTCAGAGCACTGTCGATGCTCTATCCGAAGCGAGGTTTTTTTTTACAGTACAAAGGTTCGTATAGCTGCACAACGATTTGCTTTATCGATAATTACTTTTTTCGTCGCACGAGCTTTCACGACTTTGTTATACACAGCTATTTGATATGCATCTCAACCTATGAGGGCACCACTGCGCGCCTCGCTAGTACGCTCTATATGGTTCGTTCTCCAGAAATTGGATTTAATTTGAGAGAAATTAAATTTAACAATAACGTTTTATCCCTTTCGCTCTTTAGATTGTTATGGATCAATCTTGTTTTTTATTACTCATTGATCCTCTAATTTTCTACATTTATCACAATAGTACCTGCATTTTTATAAAGATAGGTATGGCATATTTAAAATTATGTCAGATAAAGCGCAACACACGCTCCACGATTCGCAAAGTTATTGATATGAGGGATTTTAAATATTAGCCATAAAAACCTTTTTGGATTGTAGAGTACTCATTTGAACCATTGCTAAATAAGAAAAACTGCTACATAATGCATATAAGGCTAACAATATGTGGTAGAAAAAAGAAAGAAAATGAATTCAGATTAAAAGACAAATGATGTGACGGCCGCGTCAACGCTTACAATTTCGCTTACGTTTCTTTCTCCAAAACAAGATTGATACGAGCTCGCTCAGGGCGCAAAGTTTATGATTTATCGTATTCAGTGTACATTGCGCGTCACATCATAAGGCAGTAAATTGGATTCGCGCGCGTCGAAAGACGCATTACATAATACAACATATGAGATTTAATGGAAAATAAGGGCACCCAGGATTCATATAAATACACCGTACTCATATGTGTGTGTGTGTTACAGTTTTAGGGTGTCCGGACGTGCGAGCGCCCCCGGGCAGTCGGCTGAGCGACGTCAGTCTGCGCACGAGGACGTTTCGCTGCCGGGCCGGGGCATTGTTCCCCGACAGCGGCCAGCAGGCGCGCACGATTCGCTGCAGCCAGGAGTTGGGTAGATGGATCGAGAACGTCGACGAGCTGCCGGCCTGCGTCGGTGAGTGCTGCTTATCCACCGCTTCTTTATATTCGTATTTTTTTTTTCTTTTATTCGTAGCTTTTTTTCCATCATCGAGACTCGTGATTTTTGGGTCAAGCTAAATGATTGAATACCATGGGCGATGCGAATATATTGTATACATATGGGCCGTTTCGCGTCAATCACGTTGCAGCCCGAGTGTATCAACTTGGTACATATGTAATTGGTAGCTAATGCTTGATCATGAACCTATGAAGTTTAAAAATTGAATTTATAGTCTTTCAATAAGTAACATCTTTTGGAAAGTCCAAATATTTTCCTTCTCAATGGTTCTCGTATACCCTTTATAAATGTAGTGACGTCAAAAGCAAAACTACAAGGTGTGCATTTCATAGATTATACCGGTTTAGCAAGTTTCTCTCTCTCTCTCCCTTATGCCGATCATTTCCTATATCTAAAGCGTATAAGAAAAAATACACCTCACGATTTTGTATATGCTCTCATTGGGCGGGGATACAACAGCAATAGATATATTTTCTTCGTATCTTTCTGTACATTCTGTTTACTAATGAACGATATTACGAGGTGTTAGATGTGTCAATAAATCCGAAAAACAGGCCTTTTGTTGTTTTTGTCTTTCGATTTTAATCTTTGACGCTGTACGACACAATGGATCACAATTAACGAGGAAGCTAATTTTCGAGCATGATCGATGACTATTCAAAAAGTGTGGCTTCTCACACGAAGAGTACACAAAATGTAGAGTTAAGTAAATATTGGCCGCGGGCCGATTTAGAGTGTTGATTCGATTTTTTTTCTCGTTAATTACGATGGAATTTATCGGGTCCGTCGTCGCGACGCTAAGTTACGAAGACGCACGCGACTCGCGGCAAGCTAATAATAGGTAAAAATTTCATTAATCAATCGAACGAAGAATACCTCATTAAACGTCGTGCTGAAGTGTTATTTTTATTATTATTTTATACATGTCAGGAGCTCGCGACACTGGTACAATACTTTTAAAGTATGTAATATTAGGCTACACATTATATTACGAGAGCTGAGGAATGCAGGCAAGATACGCGCCACAGATGCTTGTATATATAGAATTACGCTTGTCCACGCGTCTGTCCACTCCTATTAAAGAAAGTCGAGTGCCCACACGCTCTGTTACATGTGTGCGTATGCGTTTGTAATATGTTATTCCAATGTATACACAGACTCTTAATACATGTGTTCATACATGCACCCGCGGATAAAGAATAAATACGAGATAATATGGAATACGCGTGGGCGGCATGGCCGGGGATCAATCTCGGATTTTGTCTAATGTAGCGTGTATCATCTACAAAAGTCTCACACATATACAGTATACACATGGACACATCCATCATTAGACATAGATACGTAATGTGCTCCATAGACTTGTAACACACGAACGGAGGGGGGACACACAAGACCGGAGCAAAGAAGAAGAAGAAGTAAATCGGAGCTCGTACTCGCGCGGGGGGAAAGGGAGGGGTGCCGGTTAGCCGATTCCCCTTCGCTTTACTACAGCATGCAGCACGCCACGACGACGGAGAAGGAGAGTGCGAGTCGAGTGCGTTGTTTTTTTGTCTGCGCGTATAAGTGAGCGAGCGAGCTGGCGTAAAACCTCGAGGCTCCAAGTCAGTATCCATCGAGTGTAGCTCTCGTTAAGACGGCACAGGTCAGTTTTTTGTTGTTGTTTGTCGTGTTGTTACACGCATCTAAAAACGCTCATAACGCGATCCTTCGAGTGACGCGCGGAGTTGACTTTTCGGCCTCCTCCCATCGAACACGTGCTTTTTTTCCCCGTATTTTGATCCGAAGTTCGCGTTGAAAGATTCTTGAACAGTGTATATCGTGTATAGGACGGAAGAGTTTGTAAGGTTAGTTGACCCTCCAACGTGTACTTATACTGCAGCAGCTCGTATGTACGCTGCACAGTGTGCACGTTCGAATCGTTGCCATTGAAAATCTCGGACGTAAAGCTCGCTCGAGTAAAGTGACTCTAACATCATACATTTAATATGCACGAGAACGATACATCCGAGTGTTTATTTTTAAAGCGTGAATTGCACGATTTCCGTTTTTCATCGCGCACACATTTTCCGCCTCGTGCTTGTCTTCGCGTCGCGAGCATACGATACAAAGATACACACGCCAGTATTTTTACACAAATTCCGTGCGGGCGGCACGAGTTCAACGGCACGTGCGCCTATAATGATATCTCGACGTACGCGAATTATAATCGTTGTAATTACTATTTCGTTTTTTTTTTATGACATATACAAATACGCTTTATAGTCGCGTAATGTAACGATGGAACTTTTGATGGCGCGCGGACGCTCGCGGCGGAGGCACGACCGCTTCCGAGAAACATTCCCGCATACTTGTGTTATTATTATATGTATATAAAAAAAAAAATATTTGATAATGTTGAAAGATAGGCCACGAGCAATCTTATCTCGCGTCGAGCGATTTTTCTTCGTTTTCATAAACGCGCCCGCACACATAGGCAGACTTTACGATCTTGGTGTTACAATATAATAGGCGGCTACTCCTACAATAATTACTTTAATTAAACGTAGAGGAATTGTTTGCGTTGTAGTTTTATAGCTTTTGATGTGTCGCGGATGATGGTACCGATTTTAGCTGGTGTGCTCATTGGCGTTGATCTGTCATTTCGATTGCAAATTTTTCAATGAGAAACAAAAATATTTCACTCGGCGCGCATAATTATTATTTATTATGCATCGGCCAGCTCGTCGTCTCTTTTACAACGACCTCGGTCTCTCGCGCTACTCTTCGGCTGCGACATGATACACGCTGCACTGGAAACAGGTTGTATTAATATATAACGTCTCCTTCTTCCATTGCAAGTCGTCGTCGTCGTCGTCGTCGTCGTCGTGTGCACGAGCAGAGCAGCTCATATCCGTGGATCCGTGGCAATTTTCTCATCCTCGTTCGTAGTACACTGTACGTATAATATATAACGCGCACATATATGCACACATACAGATGCAGCGTAGCATTGGTTCGCTTCGCACGCGTGAAAGGCCTTGCATTCCTTGCGCCTGCTATGTGCCTCATGGCTGCAGCTAGCTAGCCGGCAAATCGTTCCATTTGCTCCATGTCCATTGCGGGCTTTCTTTCTCTCTTTCTATTTATTATGCGAGTGTATGTAGGCTCTTACAGAATGTCTACTATTCTAAGCTCGCCATTCATTTAAAGTATCGTATACACCACTTATTTACTTATAACACAAGCTCTGCCGCGCGTATATAAACTCGTATAGGCGCTTTATCGACGCGCGACAACGAATTTTTTGCAGCTCGTGGCACGAAAAATATTCCGAGACGAGATGAAGTGTCTCGTATACACGAGTCCATTGTCGTATTATATACACACGACGCTGTTGAGATTTCAGTTTGGCGTCGAATATACGTATACGGAGCTCGATATCGTGTACAAAAAATACAAAAAACGGGAGATCTTTTATAATCTCTTTTTTTGCGGATTTTTATGTGTATGTGTATGCCGAAGCCTGCCAAGCTCTGTATACGGCTCTTTAACACGCTCAACGCGTTTCGTTCGATGATACGTATATAACCATAAATGCCGAATATTCACGAGTGCCCTAAAGCCGATGCAAAAATTCAAGTCGTATATATATATGCGCTGCTGTGTGTGGATTATTGAGTTACCTCACTTTGGCCTCTTATTTAGCTGCATAGCTGAATCGACCGGGCGTGACGATCTCTCCCGCAATAATTATTCTCTCGCGTGCATGGAATTTTTGCCAACGACGATCTCGAAAGAGTTTGATCGAAGCTAAAATGTGTGTACTTTTGAAATCGATATTATTCGATCGCCGAGTAACGAAAAAATAACAAATATTGTTGCAAGCACACACTGGCTTATCAATGTTTCAACAACAATTCGAAATAAATCCTACGAATTTCCGCTTATACACTTTTTCATCGTTCAACTTCATAATATCCGATCGAAGTAAGCTAAAAAAATGCCATTAATTACAAAACCAGCTCGCGTTAAAGGTATATCGTTATTATAATCCCTCGAAAGCGTCTCGTTCAAACCGTGACGCGCTCGATCGAGCTCGTTCAAAAACTCCTCTTATATCGCTCGAGTCGAATTGGCATCGACGAGATCTATTCGTCGCGCGAGTTCGAACTCTTGGCGCGATTGAAAAGCTCTGCTATACATATCTATAATGTGCACCAGCGGAGGGGATGAGAGAGGGTAGTATCTGGACAGGCGCACCGCATCTTTCTGCACCCTCTCTCGTGCTGGCGCCGCACAACACATACATACGTAGAGCTGCGCATCACACGCACCCACACACACGTATCGAGTGTATCATATATAGGTTCACCCTCCCTCACTCTCGAGCGGGGGTGGCTTTGGCAAATTCAGCTGGCTTTCTCGCGACCCAGTAGTAGTCGCGTCTGCTCGCTCGCTTCGACCAGACGAGCCACCGGTGCTGCTGCACCTGCATATATACCCGCGTATACCTTTCCTTGTTTTCGCGAGTTCACCTCTGCTGCCGCTGTAGTTTGTGCCATTGTTCGACGCGGGGCTAAATCGAGAAAGATATAATATAATATTATATCCGTATAGGTGCGCACAGGCATAAGTCTCAGTCGCTGCACTGCAACTTTCATCCCATACTATCGCCTACCTTCGTCTTTCCACTCTCTGCTTATTATCTTTTCGCGGTGTGCGTCAACGCTTCTTTTTTTTTTTTTGAAAAAAAGCTCGACTTGGCTTTTTTTCAGCTGGTCGTCGTCGTCGTTGTAAATTGGCTTCGTCGCGCTTTCGCGCGAGGGAGTAGATAGAGCAGTCGACCCGCTACGCTGTGTGTGTCTCTCTTTCTCTCCCTCTCTCTCTCCCTCGCGCGCGCGGGCTTGATTCCTTTTGGTCTCTCGGGGTTACACGGTGACCTACTAAAACTGGAGTGTGCACTCTCTGCCTCTCCGGTGCGTTCGTTAACTCCTTATACGTGTGTGTGTGTGTATGTATCGGCTCGTGCCGCGGACACACCTACACGGCACTGGCTTATCTGTGAAACGAGCTTTTGTTATACGAATTTCGACGTTTTATCGAAATTTCGACGACTCTTTTCTGCTTGACTTTTCACGGTTTCTTTTCTTTATTTGTACATTCTTTGAACCGTGCACATTTTTCAATTAGCTCGAGATCGTTAATGAACACTCTTAATTGATTGAAGATTGACAATTAAGTCGATTAAATATAGACTATATCGAAAGTCAATTTATTAAAATTTAACAGATAGCTAATGAATGGATAAGATTAATTAATTGCACGATATAATTGTGCCGTATAATAAACTTTGACCCGTGCTCGCGAAGATTGTCTCACACGCGTTTCAGAGCAAAACTTTTCGCTTTTTAATCCGGATGTGTATATAAAAATAACTCGCGGAAGTGAATTGCACTCGGTGTGACGAAAAAAAAAAGAATTCCGCGATAAATTTAGAGATTCAAGCCATAAAAGCCCATGATACGTCGATAACAAAGTCCCTCTCTCTCTCTCTGTATAATATCGTTGGGAATAATCGCGCCGACTCAGCGACTGTATGTATAAGGCTGATCTGCCGGCTTACACTTTCCAAGTTTTTTCAAAGTACTTACAGTTATATAGCGTGAAAAAAAAACGAACGATCGATCGATCGATTTGTGCCGTGTCAAGGGGCAATGCACCGCACTTCGTACATAATATATTGAATTACAGACGAGAGAGAGAGAGAGAGAGAAACCTCGATAAAACATATTGTTTTCCGATTTGTAAACGATGCAAGCACCGAAATATTATAGCGAATGAACGCTAACAACTCCCCCTTTTATGCTATTCTTCTTTACTTCCTTCCTAAGGGTGCGAGCAGCGACTGAACCTATTCTATGGCGCAAAAAAAATTATTTCAGTGTTCTTTACTAAAAAGTATTGATGAAAATTAATTTTATAGTATCTAACGCGCCAAGATCTACGATTCTTTCACACCGTACAAGATGATGGAACTAATCATCAACAGTTTTAGTTCAGCTGCTTGTAAGTGCTTTTTAGTTAGGAATAAAAGCGTTTCCTTCCGTTTTATCTGTATGGAATAACTAATCGATATTCATCTTCGAGAAAATCCTTAAAATAATCCATTGATCCGTGGGACGTCGCGAAGAAGTATTATCTTGAATTATTAGAGTAATACAGTTGAAAGATGAACTCATTGAAGCTTGAGTAATATTTCTTGGGTGAAAAGCAATGACACGAAATTCTGAGATTTTTCATGCGTCAATCGCATTTGAACGCAATAGTTTTTTGTTTCATATTCATCTCTTTCAATTCGATAAAATAACTCGCCTGAATATTTGTGCATTATACCAATGAATTTACTACCGAACAAAGATATCTGCTTAAAATCATTCGAAGCTACATTTATAATTTTGCTACGGTTCAAAATGTTTATTCACATGCATTCTTGATTTTTTAAATGTATATACTTTGTGCTCGAAAATTTACGCTCGTTGCAGCGAATGATGAGTTATTTATTTTTCCGCGTAACGCGATAACCCAACACACACTTATTTATCACGAGGCTATCGTGAATGAACAAATAACTCAGTTTGCCTTGCTTGCATTTAAACATTGATGCAAAATTTTAGAATTCCAAGTTCAAGCTATAATAATCTGAAAAAAAGGTATTTTAATAAGTAAAACAATGTTAGGATTGAACGATACAATTTTAATTTCCCCAGTACTCAAATAATACAATATGAAAAAAGTAAACTTGATTATAACACAACGGGACTCTCATAATATATTTGACAGATTATACTACAACACCTAATCAGGTGAATGGAGAACAAATCGGAGCGTAGATAAGGCGTCCCATCACGTGAAACGCGTTAATCAGACCCATTAGTTATCTCGTATTGCTTCTAATGGTATTCAAACTCTTCGAACGAACCGCTATAATCACCGCGTATACATTTTTCGACGCCCCGCATTAAATATCTATTACCGACGAGCTATCGTCGTCATCGTCATTGCACCCGTATTATGCAAATGTACCACGAAAATCTCGATTACACGAACGTAATCGAGCCATCCGCGCGATATCCTGCTGATAAAGTACGAGCGGCATCAATTAATCATATAATAATACTATCCGTTATTATACAGCGTCGAGTGGCCTAATATCGAGAGACAGCAACGAGCCGCCTACGAGCTACCGCGGGAGCAGTCGCTTAGCAGCCGAGCAGAGCAGTATCGTGAGCGCAGCCAGCATCGGCCACGCCAGTCGCGACAACAACGACAGCAGCAGCAGCAGCATCAGCGGCGGCTTAAACTTGCTCGAGCAATTGACTCGCGACAGAATCGGCTCGCAGGATAACGGCGTTGCAGTTGACAGGACTGCCAATTTCAGTATTGCCGAGCAGACGCACAGAGCTATGATGAAGGACGAATCGAATACAGTGTTGGGTGAGTAACGTAGTGTTCTTTGTCTGTGTGTTATATATGCAATGAATGTTTGGAGCGACCGTGATAATTTGGCCCTTTGAAAGAAAAGTGCAGAATTCAATTCGTTCTTCTATATTGATAAACTTTATTTCTAATGAGATGCAATTTCTCGATCATTGCTCTTGAGCATTTGAAAAAAAATTAACTTTTGTGATAAAGCCGGCATTGGAATTCGACGTTCCCGCGTGTTTATATATAGCGGCGTCAATCAAATATATGCGAATTGTCATAATGCGACGACGCTACGATTGTTAAACGAATAGAAACGAAACATCGTTTAGAGCGAGCGTAACAATGTGAGTCGAGGCAATTGTACCCCCGTCAACCGTTCGTGACATCTCTTCGATTATTATAAATTACGAAGCTCAATTCATTTAGTCGAGTGAATCTCGTTCCGAGAATCGGATCTCCATACGCAGAGATGGAAGTATAGCGAACTATATAAAGTCGCTATTGCCTCTGCCGTTCCATTTAAAGAGACATTTCACGTGTATGCGATCGGTGGTCATTGAATGAGTTGGAAAACTGAATTTGCAACGATTGCTTCGTCGCGCATTTATCAATTGATGAAATTTATTTATTTTTTTATTTTACAGACGTTATTTTGCCAACCATTCTCATTGGCGCCCTCTTTGTGGTCAATGCAGTAATAGTCTACATCATCTTCAAATACCGAAAGCGGTAAGTTTCTTTTTCACGCAATAGATCCGATTATAAATTGTTATCATTTGCCATAAAGTCGATGATTGTCAAAAAAATTTCTTTGAACAATCTGTAGACTGCTAATAATTCTCAAGATGCTTTTTGCAATTCATAAATTTACTCATCTGAATTATTTCTGTTTTTTGCTTCATTATTTAACGAAGGATTGTGGACGATAATTTCAGAAATTCGACAAAGGACACAGAAGAGTTGGCACTGCAACCGACGACGACAACGACATCGGCAGTGCAGGCCAACGGCGGCGGCGATTCCTGCTGCCCCGTTTGATGAATCGCGTGAATTCGCTATAACCATTGACAAAGAAGATTATTTACTTCAATGTGTTAGCTTTTAAGTTTGATTTAAAAAATTTTTTTTTTATATATAAGTGAATCATCAAAGGCCTAAATTGTACGAAAGTTGATAAAGCTTCTAAAGACTTTAATCGAGATGTCATTAAACGTTGAATTGTAGACTTGAATTGGTTTTTTTTGTGGAACGAATTAAATGTGTCACGATACAGGACGTATCATTAAATCGAGTCTAAATGTAAGACATTTTTTAATCGTTTTTTAGCTAGCGTATCTCAAAAACTAAGTGTTTCTATAGTAAATCCTGAATGTTAAAGAGAATCACATTTATTATTCAACGATGTATTATAAAAGAAAAATAGAAAATAATGATGGAGATTTATTATAGAAATTATATAAAAAACTATATATTTGGTCTAAATTATATTTAAGTTTAATAAACAAATGTTTACATAAGAAAAAGTAATCTACATTCATTTGTATTACTGAAATGTTATTTTCCTCACACAACCTACGCATGTTCGCTTTCAATATACGATCCCATCCTCTGTAATTTTGCAACGTTATCAAATTTCTCTTCGTTAAAAGAAGAGATGTAAGTATATCTAATAAACATAAAATGAGGCTATTGGAAGACCTATGCATCTCGTTGACGAAAAGTGTCAATTCTAACTGTGTTTCGCACGATCGAATAAAGCCGTCGAACTGACGAGTATGTAAATTAATGGCTATATAAATAGTCATAAATTTATTGTTGTATAGACATTAATCGCTTAAGATAAAAATATTCCAAATGCTTTATTATGCTCAAATCTTCCGCCACCTCGGATGAAGTATCGAGAATTACAATCGTTTACAATGAACATCATTTGAACACGTTTCATGGCAGTATTTTCGACAAACTTTTCTCTGTCGGTGGACTAATTTTGTCCATTGGAACACGAAATTCAAACTCTTGTAAAGATATAATCCCAAATATCTATTGTCAATATTTTTGGCATTTAGTAAATCAAAAATATGATTGCTAACACAATGCTAGAGTTGTAATCATATTTTTATTTTAAAAAATACAAAAAAAATATTTTTACAATAGATATTGTAAATTACATTTTTTCACGAATTTGAATCTCGCGCTCACTTTAGGCTTTCTTTGAGAGCAGTGGACCAAGCGCCAAGTAGAGCGCCATCTATTTCATCTCGAAAAATTCATATCTGTTTAGCTGTCTTCTGCCTTGTGCTATTCGTGCCATGTGCATATTACAATTCTGCATCGCCGTATCGAAAATTTATAACCAGCACGTTTTTTGATTGTGAAGTGTTTACTTTCTCTGCTAACATAAACTAAAGGTAAATTAGTATTAATTGTAATTAAAATCTACTGTGTTTAACTGTTGTATCGAAATTTACTGTTATTAATTTTCAGGCCTATAAAGTTGGAAGAATATTGTTGAAAAATTCAAGATGCCTAAAGTAAAGAGTTTCATTGATAGAAAAAATTGTCGGACATTTGAATTGTGTTCAAGATCGCAAAGAGATCCTTTACTAGTAGATCCAAGTGCTCCCCAACACGTACTTGTTGAAACTACTGCTCCTAACAAAGAAGAAGAAAGAGTTTGTGGAATATTTTTTGAAGATGATTATAACTATCTGAAACATTTGAAAAATGTCAATCAAGTGTCCGAACTTGTTGAAACTACTAATGAACGTGATGAAAAGAAGAAACCAAAGAAACGAAGCAATCTACGGTTACCTGCTTCAGTATTTCAATCGCATGTAGAAGAAAAAATAGGGCTTCTTCACAGATATGCTCCTCATTCCGGGCCAAGGGTAGATTTAGATCCAGAAGTTTTTTATAAACTTGATAATCCTGATGAGGAAAATGATTTGGAGGATAATATTATTGAATTGGGTGGAGGCATGCTCGATGATGATGAAGATAAAGATGTAGGCGATTGGTCTGATGTGGATAGTGATGAAGCTCGAGATGAAGTAATGAGTTTGAATGGATCAGGCAAGGATTATGATTTTGCTAACGAAGAAACAAAATCAAGGTTTACTGAGTATTCTATGACTAGCAGTGTAATGAGAAGAAACTCACAGCTGACTTTACTCGATGATAAATTTGAAAACATGTACAAGGAATATGATGAGGACAAAGTGGGTTCTCTTGATTTTGAAAATATTGAAGGACCTAATAGTGAAGATTCTAAATTAATACAACAATTTTTAGAAGATTATCAAGCAGAATCTAAAGAACAAGATGTTGAAAATATGGCAAAATTATTGAAAGAACGTTGTAAAGTTATGTATGAATGCTCAAATTCAGATGATGAAGGTGATTCTAAATTAACAACATATGTTGAAACTGAAAAAAAAGAAGAATGGGACTGTGAATCCATATTATCTACTTATAGTAATATTTATAATCATCCTAAAAAAATTTTAGAACCCAATTCTAAACAACCGCCAAAAATTGCAATTGATCGTAGAACTGGAATTCCACAAGTAAGAAATATTCATGAATCTGATTCTGAAGCTAATTCTTCATCAGATAGTGAAGATGATGAATCTACCATTTCTACTGTTCAATTTACCAGATCTAAACATGAAACATCTGAAGAAAAAAAGGAGCGAAAAAGACAAGTCAAGGCAATGAAAAACGAAAGAAGAAGAGAGAAAAAGATGAGTAAAGAAATGTTCAAGGAAGAAAAGAAAAAGGAGCAAAAAGTCTTGATAAATAAAAATAAGACTTCCAATGCAATCCGAATAGCTTAAACTTTCTCTGGTATTAATTTATATTTTATAAATGAAGATTTATATTCAAATTATTTATTATCTAAATTATAAGCAAATAATATATGTAGGTATTATTTTTCTGAAAAATAAAACTTATTCATAAAATTGAAATTAATCTGTATTATTTATTTAATTTTTACCAATAGTAAAATCAGATTAAAAATATCAGGATAAATACTTTGAAAATCTAATCGTCAAACCCTGAATATTCTATTCGATGCTTGTTTCATTACAATAATAAAAATATTGAATAAAATAACATAAAAAAAGAATTCTCTGATTATAAACTACTCCTCAATTTTCTTTACACATATTATTGCGTCAAACAAGCTTGCAAGCAAAATTCATCAGAGCAAGCCTTTCAGTTGACACGTGCACCTCGACCAATCAGAAGCTCCAAGCATTCCATACATTCAAAATTTCGTTTCAGTTGCCGGCGGGCAGGAACGAACGCGATCAGAACTGGTCCGGACGAGTCTGACACGCGAGGCTGCGCGGAACAAACACAAAACAGTCGCACGTCGCATGCAGCACCGCATGGCCAGGCATCGTCCAATACAGGCGCCACGCTCGCGCTCTGCTTCGATTTAGCCGCGCAAACAAACGAACGCTGCCATCCGAGTTTTATTAACAAAAATAACAATCGATAGGGACAAATTAGTGTCATCTAATCTGACCGGAAATTTTGACGAATGTGTATTCACCCCGACCGTGAAGAATATTAGTTGTGCTTCGTTCTTATAGCTAGGAGAAAATAGTATTGAACAAGTTAGTATGTCTTCATGATCTGTGCAAAACTGTTGCATTGTAATTATGTAAACCGTCATTTTATGCATCGCGGGTAATTCTTATCGTTTCGTTTTGTTTTCTATTAGATATTGAACGATGGCCGAGGCTATTGAACCGAAGTCTATTGAGAGCGGCGTAATTATTCGACTAGGGCTCAAAAATTTCGTGTAAGTATTTCGCTTTGAAAACAAATACAAAATCAAAACAAATACGATTGAAATTGGTGATAATTTTTTTAGCACTTATGACGAGGTAGTTGTGAAGCCTGGCAGAAATCTTAACCTTATTATTGGTGCCAATGGCACTGGAAAATCAACAATAGTAATGGCTATTGTTTTGGGTTTGGGAGGAAGCCCCAAAGTTATCGGCCGCCAAAATAACATATCTGAATTTGTCAAAGCTGGTGAAAAAAATGCCACAATTGAAATAGATCTCCAACTCGATGCAAATAGACATATAACTGTCAAACGCTGCTTCGATGATACGGGACACTCGCAATGGTTTGTTAATAATCAAAGCGCTACTGCCAAGAAGATTAATGAATTGATGAAAAGCCTAAACATTCAGGTATTTATGAAAAGTTTTCCTTTTGAAATCCACTCGTATAAATTTATTTATCCCAAATAATTTACTTATATAGGTTGACAATCTTTGTCAATTTTTACCCCAAGATAAAGTTCAACATTTTTCTGAATTGACGCCAGCTAAACTTTTGACTGAAACTGAAAGGTCTGTTGGGGATCCAAAACTTATAGAATATCACACAAAATTGAATTCATTGAGGGAAGAGCAAGTTGAATTAGAGAAAAACCTAGAAGGCAAAACTAAACTTCATCACAATGATGAAAAATTATACAGTAGTTTGAAAGACTCCATTGGACAAATTACTGAAAGGCAAAAATTGGCAAAAAAATTATCAAGTTTGAAACAGAAAAAGGCATGGATGCAATATCAGCATGAACGAGACAAATTTAAAGACGTAAATAGAACAAATCATGAAAATTTATCAGTTGAGATTTTTAGAGACTATTTAACAAACTTACCATTATTTATTTCAGGCCAAAGAAGGTATGAAACAGGCTTTAGAAAAGAAAAATGAAATTAAACGACAACTAGAGCCAATGGAACAAGAAATTTCCAGAATAAAAAATAATGTTCACGAATATGATAGAGTTTTCAAACAACACGTAATAGATTTTTATTATCTTTGATATTTTGCAAATCTCTCATTTTTCGTAATTTATTATATTGTTATATTAATTTACAGCAAACTGAAGTTTCACATAAAACAAACCAATTAAGTCAATTTATAAATGAAATTGAGAAGAATGAAAGAAAAATTACTGATCTAACGAATCAATGCGATAATGATATTAGGCAAGAAGAACAACGAGATCAGCAACTTGATGAAATGAAACAGCAACTAAATAAAATGGAAAATGACTTGTCACATTTGGTTGAAAATGTTGGAACTGGTAAAGTTCAATAAATTGTATATTAATTAAATTAAGAGTTCAATAGAATTAAATTTTGTGATTTTTTTTTAGCTGAAAGCTTAAGAGCCGAATTCGAAAAAATTACTCCTAGAATGTCAAGTTTAAGAAATAAGATTAATGAATTCAATGCTCAACAGCAATTCAAGAGGGAAAAAATAGATCACTTAAATCGAAAAATACACGGTAATTCATCCTAGTGTACATAATTTTTCAAGTAAAAACTTCATAGAACTTGAATAGCAATAATAATTCCATTATTCTTTGCAGGGGAAGAACAATATTTGAAAGAAATTCAAGATATTGAAAATAAAAGACTTCAAAGACTTCGTTCAATAAGCCAAGATGCATACAAAGGAGTTATATGGTTGAGAGAAAATAAGCACTTGTTTTCAAGAACCGTTCATGAACCTATGATACTTCAGATAAATTTAAAAGATCCTGGTTATTCCAAGTATTTTGAAAATATTATTTCCTCCCGGGATTTGACTGCTTTCATATGTGAAGATAAAAATGATCTGAACAAGCTGCTGCACTGTCTTCGAGATCAGCAAAAATTAGTAATAAATGCTGTTCATATTGATCCTGAAAAAAGAGTCAATTTTGATCCAAGAATACCACTTTATCATCTTCAAAGATACGGTTTTGAAAATTATTTAATAGATCTTATTGAAGCTCCAGAAATAATTTTGAAGTTTTTAGTTATTTACTACTCTATAAACCAGATTCCTATTGGATCAGAACAAGTTGCAATGAACATAGATCAAATACCAGATGAAATAAGGAGATACTTTACACGTACATATTTTTTTTGTGAATTTTATTTTAACATTTGATTTTAAGAAATAATAATTTCAATGACTTACAGCTTCTAATTCGTATTCAATAAATAAATCCAAATACACTGGAGATAGAAGTACAAGACAAGCTGCAATTTTTTCTCAAAATATTTTGTCAATCACAGTAGATCACGAAAAAATGAAATATCATAAATCTCAGTAATAATCTTTTTGATGATATATAATAGTAATTGAACTGATGATATGCTCATGTTTTTAAAATTTTTACAGGATACAAACATTTCAGGAACAGAAACAATCCCTAATGATAGAATTAGAATCTTTCGATGGAAATATTTCTGAAGTGCATAGAGAAATAAATGAGTTAAAAGATGCTCGAAATATAATTCAGGCAAATATGAACAAATTAAGTGATATTGAAAGAAGGATAAATGTGCAACGTAATAGAATACGTACTGATGAAAGTGATAGAAAAAGTGTTGACGAAATTAAAGCTTTCTACAATGGAAAAATTAGAGTAGGTATTTCAGATCTTAATTTTTGGTTTTGAAATGAATTATGCAATAATTATGATTGAAAAATTTTAGGATGAATTGAAGAAACAACTCACAGTCTATAGGCAGTATAATAAATTGGTAGATGATTGTTATAAAACGTTTCTTATTAGTGAAGAATTGAAACTTCAACTAAGGGTTACTAAAAACTTATTGGCTAATAAAAATAACGAAGTTTCTGACTTGCGAGAGTCTCATAAAGCCGCGGAAGACAATTATAAAATACTAGAACGTGAATGTAAACCAATAAAAGAGGAAGTAGCACGTTTATTCAAAGTTGCAAAAGACAGTACTGACGGATTGGCATATGGCGATGAAAACTTTGAGCCCATTAAAAGAGTTTTTGCCAGACTTCCAGGTACTCTACCTGAGATTTTTCAAGAAATTGATACTACTCAGGCACAACTTTATTGCATAGCTAATGCACATGATGCTGATAAGGTAACTACTTTTATAATTATTATAATATACTTGATCATGTAAAGTTTTAACAATTTGTTATGCTATTTTTAGATAATGACCAGATTTAGAAATATAAAGAATAATTTAAAAATATTGCAACAACAAATTCAAGAGTATGAGAACAATTTGGCGAGAGTAACCCAAGAAATTGAACAAATAAAAGAGCGCTGGCTTCCTATGCTTATAACACTCGTAGATAGAATTAATGCTAATTTCAGCGCTTATTTTAAACGAATGAAGTGTGCTGGCGAAGTTTCATTATCAATACCAGAAAACGATGTAAGTCATAATTATTGTTTAACATTTATCATGAGACACATTGTTACATAACTTGTCTGAATTGCAGATGGATTTCGAAAGATACGGTCTTAAAATAAGAATTAAATTCAGAGACGCTGATGAACTACAAACATTGACTAGGACTCATCAAAGTGGCGGAGAGCGTACTGTTACTACTGCTATTTATATGCTGGCACTGCAAGAGCTGACAAGAGTTCCATTCCGTTGTGTTGATGAAATCAATCAGGTATGGAAAATTTAACAAATTGGAAAATATTAATTTTTCGGAAAATTTAACAAATTGGAAAATATTAATGAACTTTTTTTTCATAGGGAATGGATGCCGCAAATGAGCGCAGAGTTTTTGAAATGATGGTTCAGAATACTACTAGAGCTACGAGCGCTCAATATTTTTTGTTGACTCCAAAGGTACTTTTAAATTGAATTGCATTTACTATATTATTGTTCTCCAAGGAAAATATTGATTTCTTCACTTTTTTTATTTAGTTATTACCTGGTTTGAAGTACAACGATTCAGTGACAGTTTTAACAGTATTCAATGGAAAATATATGATTCCTTCGTCAGAATATAACATTGGCGACGAATTTGAGAATATCGTAGAAACTGTCTCGAGAAAACGGCGACGTGAATCTGAATCCGATTAATATTATCCGATTAATAATAATCTTAAAGCATGTTTACTAAGTTAAAGTTCAATGTTTATTTTATTGAAACAAGTTATACGGTTACGATTTATAAGATATTAAATACTTAAGAGTTAGTTGTTACGTTTTCGTGAACATCAGTTTTTACTTGTCTAACCAAGTAATTGTATTTCGTATTTGCATTAAAAATAAAAATTTTAATATTTTTATGAAAAATGGTTTCGATTTTTGTTTTTGGCACCATTAATGAACTTTAAATTCTGCAACAAAAATAATATTTCTTAAAGAATCACTTAGTGTTTGTAGCTTATTGAAAATCATCATTTTGAAAAATCGACACTATTTGGTTGTAGATCTTATCAGACCAATTACGCTCGAACGTACCTCCTATCAAGCATAATTTTGGCAAAAAGTGTGCGATGGCCGGGAATCGAACCCGGATCAACTGCTTGGAAGGCAACTATGCTGACCATTACACCACCATCGCAACTTGTTGGGAATTGCGATCGAGGTGTACTTGCATCTTGGGAGAGCAGCTGAGCCAGTTCCCCTTCTCTCGAACACGACCGCTTGAGTTGTCATACCGGTCCCGTGGAGGATAATTGCAACATTTCGATTGAAATATCGATTGAAACATGGTAAAAAATATTAAAATTATTCATTTTATTATTGTGGAAATGACTACGCAACTTGTCAGAAAATTGTTTCATAGAGATTTCGAAAAGCGCACTCTAAAAATTTTCATTTTCACTTTGAAGTCAGTTTGTCAGTATTCTCTCATGTCGTTGATTCATTTCACGATGTATTTCTTGAAATAATTTGAATCGACAATTTTTTATGTTAGCTATTGTCGAATAAATTGCAAGAAAAGCAATGCGAGTGAAAATGAAGATTTCAATACTGACATCAGCATCTCTGTGATCAAATTTCATTCAAACCAAAGGAATTTTCCAAATCCATGATTCAATGAGATATTTCAATTTCTAGATATCAATACTTTTTACGGACGAGTTATCATCGTTGAAAAAAAAAAAAAAAAAATAGGAGTAAAGAAGAAGAAAAAATGAAAACCATAATAATTTATTCAAAGCGGCGTCTCTGTTCAAGTTGATTACCACTGAATGTGTGCTGTGTGTGGGGTAAAGCAGTTTATGACGTCTAATCTCGCGATTTCGTACTGCGTACATACATACACACGTAACAGATACATGCGATCGTTCAGTGCGCGTCTCGTTGAGCGCGAATGTGCAGCGTTTCAGCACAAATGCGCAGAGCAATCGGACTTTTTGCAGCGTAGTTTTCGGTCGCACTAACTCGATCAAAATCGTAGCAATCGTGCGTTAACGATCGTTCAAGGCCGATTCTCCCTTTCGTCGCGTAAAAGTTTGTTGCTTGGATTAATTTTTTTTTTTATTGGTTTGATACTAAAAAGTGGTGTTGATAAATCATGGCAGCAATCGTGTCGAAAGACATTCCTGACATCGAGGTGAATAAAAATTTTCCTACTACTCCTCTTTTTCGCATCCGAACTCGTTACTTATCGCGTACCGATTTCGTTGTTCCAGAATCTGCTCGGTCTGAATCCAAGATCGAAGATTCATGCGAATCTGGTGCCGACGATACAGACGAAAAAGAACAAGCAGCACTGGAAGCGCAACATCCATTCGAAATGCGACGTAAGTAAAAAAAAAAAAAAAAAAAAAAATCTAGCGCGCAAAATTCGCACGCTTAACGGTCGCATTAATTTTTGTCCCTCGCGCTCTCGACCGCTTCTTCCCCGCAGAGCTGCGTGCCGCTGAAGAAGAACTTCGACGACGTGAAGCACACGACGCTGAGCGAGCGGGGCGCCCTGCTGGAGGCCGGACGCTGCCTCAAGTGCGCCGACGCGCCCTGCCAAAAGTCCTGCCCGACCCAGCTCGACATCAAGTCCTTCATCACGTCGATCGCCAACAAGAACTATTACGGCGCCGCCAAGGCCATACTGTCGGACAATCCCCTGGGTCTGACCTGCGGCATGGTCTGCCCGACCAGCGATCTGTGCGTGGGCGGCTGCAATCTCTACGCCACCGAGGAGGGACCGATCAACATCGGCGGCCTGCAGCAGTTCGCTACCGATGTGAGTGACGCGACGACGTTAGTTGGGATTTTTCGTTGTGTGGAAAAAAAAAGTTTCAACGTTTTATCTCGCTCGATTGATTTATGTAATATTATCGTCGAAATATTAGTGCTAAGTGGAACGCGAGACCTATATATATATTCGCTTTTACATGTGATAAAATCGCCGATCGCGTCGAGGGATCCATTTTTATACAAATATCTCTCGGATCGTATAAAATTCCACTCGAAATTTGTACATTATTTACTTTGACATCTAATTGCAATTGTGTCCGACGTTATCGTGAACACACTGATCGTCGATAATCGTTATGTAAGTTTCGTATACACGAGTCCAAAAAAGAAAAAAAAAACACAAGCAACTTTGCTTTGTTCCGCGAATCCGATAAAGAAAAAAGGAAAAAAAGAGAAAAAAATACAGATTACTTATGCGCGCTCTAAATTCTTCTTTTTTGTTTTTCGTCTGCGCGTAACTCGCGCGCACAGATCTTCAAGCGAATGAACATTCCGCAAAAGCGAGCTCCCGGCCAGTGGGTGCCGCACGACGACACCAAGATCGCGCTGATCGGCTGCGGGCCGGCCTCGCTGTCGTGCGCCACCTTCTTGGCGCGCCTCGGCTACAACGACCTGACCATCTTCGAGAGGGAGCGCTACGTCGGCGGCCTCAGCGCCGCCGAGATACCCCAGTACCGATTGCCCTACGACGCCGTGAGCTTTGAGGTCGATCTGGTCAAGGATCTCGGTGTCAAGATCGAGTACGGCAGGCAGCTGTCGGAAAATGACATCACTATCAGAGTGCGTTGACTTTGCTCCACAACCCCCCGACGCTATATTTTTTTTTATGACCAATCGACTAATCGTTCGCTCTTCTACTTCGAAGAAATTGAAAGACTCCGGCTACAAGGTCGTGTTTCTGGGAATCGGCCTGCCCGAGCCCAAATCCTTACCGATCTTCGACGGCCTGAGCCCGGAAATGGGCTACTACACGTCCAAGAACTTCCTGCCGGCCGTGTCGAAGAGCAGCAAGCCCGGCATGTGCGCTTGCAAGGCGAGCAGCGGCAGCAGCGGCCTGCCGGAGCTCTACGGCAACGTCGTCGTGCTGGGCGCCGGCGACACGGCCTTCGACTGCGCCACCTCGGCCCTCAGATGCGGCGCCAGCAAAGTCTTCGTCGTCTTTCGACGCGGCTTCACCAACGTCCGCGCCGTACCCGAGGAGGTGAGCTAGCTCAGACAACACGACGACGCTTGTACTTGCCATCGTCGACGAATGCAATTATTTATTTATTTATTTATTACGAACTCGTTGATTTCGATGTCAGATGGACCTGGCGAAAGATGAAAAGTGCGAATTCATTCCGTTTGCGTCGCCCAAGAAGGTCATCGTGAAAGGATCCAAGATCGTTGCCATCGAGTTTTACAGGACTGAACAAAACGAGAGCGGAGATTGGGTCGAGGACGAGGATCAATTGATCAGATTGAAAGTCAGCTTTGTCATTTCAGCGTTTGGTTCCGGCCTTTATAACTCGGATGGTAACGATAAATTATTTTTATTTTTTAAAAATTTCAATTTTCATATTGACGTACAATTTTTTTTTGACAGTAATCAAGGCCTTAGAGCCTGTAAAATTGAACAAGTGGAATACACCCATCGTGGATACCAACACTATGATGACGACCGAATCCGGCGTTTTTTGCGGCGGCGATCTTGCCGGCGTAGCTCAGACTACGGTCGAATCGGTGAACGATGGCAAAACTGCTTCCTGGTTCATTCACAAATACATCCAGGTAATAGCGAACGCGTGAATTAAATTTTTTTACGCGAAACACAGCTAACGAATGTTTGTTTTTTTATCATTCACCAGGAATCTCATGGCCTCACCGTGCCCGAGAAGCCGCAACTGCCGCAGTTCTATACTCCCATCGACGACGTCGACGTCAGCGTCGAGATGCTCGGTATCAAGTTCGAGAATCCGTTCGGTCTGGCCTCGGCTCCACCGGCCACCTCGTGCGCGATGATTCGCCGTTCCTTCGAGGCTGGATGGGGTTTCGCCGTCACCAAGACGTTTTGCCTCGATAAAGTAATGATACCTTTTCTTTTTTCTCAATCGGTCAAGTTCAATTCTTAATGAAAGATGATTTTTATACGACAGGACATGGTGACCAACGTATCGCCCAGAATAGTGAAAGGAACATCGGACGGTTATCATTACGGCCCGGGACAAACGAGTTTTCTAAATATCGAACTCGTCTCCGAAAAATTGGCAGCTTATTGGTGCCAAGGTATCAGAGAGTTGAAGAGAGATTTCCCAACAAAGGTAGAATTCAAAAAAATGTTCGACAAAAAATCGGATGCTAGATCGACTATTCTATAATGTACCGTTTTTAAACATTTATTTGAAAGGTCGTGATTGGCAGCATCATGTGCACATACAACAAAGACGATTGGACCGAATTAGCCAAAATGGCTCAAGAAGCGGGATCCGATGCTCTCGAGCTCAATCTGTCATGCCCGCACGGTATGGGAGAAAAAGGCATGGGTCTGGCTTGTGGACAGGTTCGAATAACGATTTGCTTTACTTTTATATGGCTTTAATCATTATCAAACGTCTCTATCGATTTTCTTCATTATTTTACAGGATCCCGAGCTAGTGAGAAATATTTCTCAATGGGTCAGAGAGGCGATCACCATTCCGTTCTTCGTCAAATTGACGCCTAACATAACGGACGTTGTTCAACTCGCCAAAGCCGCCTACGAAGGTACCGTCTCGCTTTGTCTCTGATAAGTCAGCTTCTGAATTCAATGCGATGCGACAATATCTCATAAATCTTACGTACAACAGGTAAAGCCGACGGTGTATCGGCGATCAATACGGTGCAAGGTCTCATGGGCCTTAAGGCCGACGGGACACCCTGGCCCGCAGTCGGTGCGGCCAAAGCCACGACCTACGGTGGAATCTCAGGCAACGCCACGAGGCCGATGGCTCTGCGAGCCATATCCAAGGTGGCGCAGGCCTTGCCTGGTTTTCCGATCATGGGTATCGGCGGTATCGATTCCGGCGAAGTCGCGCTGCAATTTATCCAGTGCGGTGCCACTGTGTTGCAAGTAAATATTATTGTACTCTTATCGTATTTCTACGATTTGATGTTTATTTATTTCGGGCGCGATTGACTAGGTTGGAAGTGCCATACAAAATCAAGATTTCACCCTCATCAATGATTACATTACGAGTTTGAAAACTCTGTTGTACTTGAAAGGTGTAGAACATTTGAAAGATTGGGATGGTCAGAGTCCGCCAACGTCGAAACATCAGAAAGGAAAGCCAGTTTCACTCCAACATGCTCTAGGAAAGGTAATATCACATGATACAAATTGGCTTTAATTAAATCAAGTAATTTTATAATTGTTTACAATTTACGTAACAGAACGTGCCGCACTTCGGAGAATACTTGAAACTACGCGAAAAAGTAGCAGCTGAGATCAAAGAAAAATCGAATCTGCTCGAGGGTGATCTACCACTGACCAGACCCGCACCGAAACCCGCGAAACCAATTCCAAGGATCAACGACGTGGTCGGGGCAGCCTTGTCAAACATCAAACCATACGTCAAATTGGATAACAGCAAGCAAGTCGTGGCGTTGATCGACGATGTGAGTGAAATTTGCGACGATAAGTGCCGATACGCGCATCGCGATGAAATCATTTCATTTCAATTGAACTCGTTTTCGAGATAAACGGGGAGAAAAATTTTGCATACACAACATTAATATTTTGTATTGGCTTTTATCTTTTCAGGACATGTGCATCAATTGCGGAAAATGTTACATGGCATGCGCCGACTCAGGCTATCAAGCTATCAAGTTCGACGCAGCGACTCACATACCCAAAGTCACGGATGATTGTACCGGATGCACGCTCTGTTTATCGGTTTGCCCTATCATCGACTGCATAACGTAAGAAAAGCTTCGGCACGAGGAAATTTGCTTACAAACATTTTATCGCCAAGTTTTAATGGCACTGCATTTTTTTATTTTTAGGATGGTGCCAAAACAGATACCTCACGTTATTAAAAGGGGAGTAGCTAAGGAAATAAAGAATGGAAAAGCGCCACAGTTGATAACTTGCGAATTGAATCATTGAGACAGTTAATTATGTTTGTTTACTTTGTAGCGAGCTTAAAGCGTATCTTTAAATTTCTTATAAGGAATTTATTTTATAAATGAAAAATTGTCCATTAATAATTAAGTAGTAAATTACTTTTCTTCTGATAAGTTAAATATTATTTCCAAAAACATTTTTTATTATTAAATAAATATTTTTACATCAGATCTTACGGTGTAATTAGTTATACTGTATTAAAATAAGTAAATTAACAATTGCCTTAATTTACTGTGATATAAAATTAATCAATACCTAGTACATAATTTAAAAAAATAACCGTTTCCCAAACAAAAACTTAATGAGTAACATAATGAGCAACATGAATAACAAAATATTTACAACAGTGATTATTTACAATACTGATAAGTACGATGCTCTCGACATCCTATCCATCAAATAAAATCTGGATTGTCGAACCATTGCCACGTTTTATTGTAATTAACATCAAATTCGTACAATACGCACTTGTTATTTCTGAAACGAGCTCTGAAAAATGTAATGAATTAATTTTCATTTATGAATCTTTTCTTGAAATCATAATGATGTAAGTTTGAAAAACTCACTTTTCGTACTTGACGCATCGCGCAGGATATTCCAGTTTGAAGCACTGCGGCCTCAGAACGTTGAAGTACGTTACGCCGATATTCCCAGCAATCAGCGATCGAGTTTTTTTCAAGCATCGATAAAAATTCGAATCGCATTCGCAATGAGATCTGCGTCGAAAAATAAAGTATCGATAAAACTAGGAATTACGCGATAATTCGATGTATTCGATTTTTGACGCGGCTTACCTCGTGAAGATGCCATTGTTCACTAGACCGAATCTGACCTGATCAGCTCCCAAGTTCATTTTGCAAAGATCGTGAGCCCTGCAACACTTATCCGTATTTTTAAATAGACCGACTTGATCCAAACTGCTAGCTAAACTTCCAGCTCCGCACCACTCGGTACCTTGTACACATAATAAATAATTAAAATTAGGAAAAATTCACTCGGATGAGGTGCTTGAATGAATCTCTTGTCAATTGAAAGGCTACCTGCTCATCGAATTTCTGTGCGATTTGACTTACCAATGAATTTATTATAGCTCTCGACAACTTTTCTAGTTGCCTGGCACAAAACACGAACGAAAAAGAAAAAGAATGAAAAAATAATGAAAAAAATGAACGACGCACTACGTATTTATAAGGTACATGTACACTCGAGCATTCGCACCTGGATAAATGGCCTTGAATCTCTCGCCGACCGCGTTGAGCACGTCGTTGAAGGTGCGCTGAGCCGCTCTGCCGAACAGATTCAGCTGCTTCATTCCTCGGCTACGACCGGTTGGAAAATCGCCGCCGCCGCCGCCGCTCTTGCCCATCTGCAGCGAGTACTTGATCGGCGCGACGAGAGCACCCGCGAATCTCTCCATGCCCGAGACGAAGGTCGGCGCGGCGTCGATGCGGCCGTCCCGGAAGGGATCGTTGTAATCGTCGTTGTCGTCCTCGAATTCCTCGGGGATGAAATTACTGTCGGAATAATTGGCGCTCGCGTCCAGGGGTACTAGGCCAAGCGCCGCGAACGGTACGAGCAGCTGCTGGTCGCGATCTTCGCTCTTTATCGACGACAAGTACCGATCGGTACTCTTGTACGAGCTCTCCGCCGAGTGCGTGAGTACCGTTAAAATTTGCACGACGATGTGAATTAAAATTACTTGCTGGCCTCGGAGATAAGATGCATCCATCTTCGTTCGGGCTTTGAGTACCGACGTTAACTTGAAAATCGGTTCTATATAAAATTGACCAATCGAAGTCATTGAGTTGGATTCGACCCAAGGTCAATGATAAGGCGACTCGAGTGCGAGTGAAATTTTCGTAGAAAATCGTGTCGTTGCGCCCTGATAATGATCTCTCTCTCTCTCTCTCTCTCTCTCTCTCTTGACTCTGCGCGGTCAATCACTCGTAACGTACGTATAATGTGTCACATGCGCGATTATCACGTTTGGCCCAGCAAAATACACCTGCGGGACATACAAGTTACGAAATTCATCGATATAAACGCTTGCGCGCATATATGTATTTTGGTTATGCTAATTTTTCGAGTATGTATAGTGAGAATCTTGAAATGCTAGATGTATGATATAATAATTATCGATACGCCGATTTAAATTTTTATAGTGCACACGTGAAGCGATTAATATTGCGTTACGATGGACTTTTTTTACGCAGAAACATAGAGAAGTTTACATCATTTTTATTTTTCGATACGGTACTAGAAAATGAAAGTTTTAGATTTTTGATTAAATTATTGATGTTCTGTCGGACACTTGTCATAAAAAATCGGTATATTTTCGTTTTTAACTTTGAGCTAAGTTATTAATCTTTCGAGATAAGAATTTAAGAAAAAAGTAATAATTCGTATTTATCAATTTTTCATTTGAAGCAGAAACTGAACAAAAAATAACTATACAAATGAAAGTTTAAGAGAGAAAATGTTCATTGATAGCAACAATGCTCATAACTCTTTCAATATTATCATAATAAAAATATACAATAACAAATCGGCAATTAAAATTCTTTAAAACTCGAGCATTTCAAATTTCGATTTTCAAACGACTGTAAGTAGTAGTTCGATTACAAATGTCAAACGAACGTACCGTTCCCCATCTGATGTCAATTTTGACAACACAATGTTTACATCGTCTAGAGTAAATAACACAGATACGTACCTTGCAAAAAACCATATGTTGATGTCCTGCTCCGTCAGTGGCTTAACATCGACTAAATGTCAAGTCTTTTTAAAAAGATTCGTGAGCCTTTGTACATTTAAATATTAAAAACTAGACCCGCAGTGGGGAGATATACCCATCTGTTTTTAAAACATCGAAAGATAATAAATATATTGTACCAATCGATCGTGCCTGGTCGGGTCTTCAATTGGAAATCACCTGCTTTATAATTCGCGAACGAATGCAAAATCTATATATAGAAGGTGAATCGGTGTTGTAAACAGACGTCAAGGACGACCGTTAATGTTTTGAGTAGCTAGTCACTACATTATATTTTTTTCGTCGATTTTGAATTCATTTAAAAATTTAAATTGATCGATGTATCTAATTTCCTAACATGCGACTTGCATTTGTGAACAATTCATATGCAAACGCAATTATCTGACAGGTTGAAATTTAAACTCGGTCTTTAATTTCACGAACAATAAGTACAGGATATTTCGTTTAATTCAAGTAAGAGTTTTCTTTAACTTTAAAAAATTATATTTTTTTTTATTTAAGTATAAAATAACGATTATAAATATATTTTAACAATTCATTTATAATAAGGCGTATTATATACTATAGACTGCATTTCCGAAGAATTTCACAATTTGAGTTTAACATTTTTCTTTTTTACAGTGAAGCAGATAGTTTTTAAAAATTTGGTCATTTGTTTTTAAAATTAATTAATGTTAATAGAATAAAATATGACTTGATAACTTGTGCACATTTTACATTCAGGATATTAATATAAAAATAAGTTTCAGTTATAAATTGTTGCCTCTTTCGTAAATTATTGCATAATTGTATAACATTTTGTTTTTGATAAAAACTATTTAAATTTGTTATTATTATTATTGCACTTTGTTAGGAGTTAATTGTCTTTTTTCTCGTCTTAAACATTTAGGGCAACAATGGTTTTGTTTTGATTTACACTTTCTATGATAAACAGTTGAACATACATTACACATCAGAGCAGTTGTATCCCATGGATAAATTATTTCATTATTTCCACAAAGTTCACAATGATGACCCCTGTAAATTGCATAAAATTAGAAGTCGGTTAGTTGTTGATTCATATTTATTGTTACGAACTTGAAGTAAAAATAAACAGAAAATAATTCTTGCCTTGCTTTGCAAAGATTGCATGTTTCAGTTATATGATTTCTCATGATATCATAGGCAGATTGTAATTCAATCTGTAAAGCTCCATTTTGAAGATCAATTAAGTCTTGTATTGAATAATGACCGCAACTTTCAATCATGTGCTTTCTTAAACCAGTTTTCCATGGCAAACCTTGGTTATTTGCTTCTGGACACACGATTAAATACTGTTTCATCATTTGCATTTCTTCTCTGTGTCTCTATTAAAAAAGTAAAAAACAATAATTTGTAAGTACTGTGAATAACTTGAATATTTCAATTATAATATTTTAAATCCTTACTTTTATCAATGCTAAGTCTGGAATCAAAGAAAATAACTTTTCATTCAATTCTTCTAAAAGTAGTACTGGTTTAGATTGTAACAAATTTAACAATTGATGTGCAGCACGACTAACTCGCTTTGGTTCCATATCCCAGTTTCGAATAACTCGTGCAGGTATTGTAATTGAAGAATTCCAATGACAGCGATAGCAATAATATAAACCACTATAGTCACAAAGCCTAGGTTCTATCCAACCTCCTTCTAAAGTTTTTATTGAAAACAAAAATTATATTAATACTAATGAAACTAAATTTATGTTAATCTACACAGTTACATAAGACAGTCTAAGAAACTAATTTTTATTCATAGTGTACAAATTTATATTCTCATGCAGCTTTACCTGCGAATTTAAAAGGACTGGCAAAACATGAAAAAAATAATCCTCTCGAGACAGCTTGCAATATATTATACATAAATCATTGCAATGGTCATTTTAAAATAAAATATTAATTCTTTTATGTCATAAAAAATTTAGAAAAAATACTTACTGAAAGTTATTTTGGAATTACATTCAGCACACCTGTATGCTTGAGCAGACAATCCTTTTTCAGGACAAATATCTTTTGTATATTTATATCCACCTGCTTCGCTAGCAATGACATGAACACATACTCTACGTATATTTGACATACACTTCATGTGACAAGAATAGCCGCAATCTGAATGAAATAAAATATGTTATTATATTGAAAAATACAAAAATGTAGCTTGCAATTATTTTCATTGATAACGATTACCATTACACATATACCATGATTGCAACATGGTCCATATACCAGCACTGCAGTGATCACAATAAACTGGACTAGAAGTTGTGATGTACAATTTTTGTGGCTTAAAATGGTGACCTAAAACGACACATGTTTCTACTGCTTTTTCAATAGAAGTTTCACGAAGTTCCTGAACCCTGAGTCGCAGTTCTATCAAACGTCTGACTAGCCATTTTCTTTCTTCTGAACATTCTGCACTTTCCAATACCATTTCCTTACATTTTTCTATCAACTCTTGAATCTCGTGTTGATCTATTGTCTGTTACAAAATTGAAATAAATAGGTAATTTTTTAATATGTTACAAAAAAATATTAAAATCTAATGAAAATAACCTTAGGAATTTGTAATGAATTTTCAATAGATCTTAACGTAAGAGGAACAACAGTTCTGCTTTCAGAGCTGTCATCTCCATTCGTCGACGAAGATGGTGTTGGTGAAGTATTATCTTCCTCGCGATTCATTTTTTCAATATGATCAGCATTAATATTCATACTGAAAAAATTAAAAATTGCACCAAGATATTAAAATGAAATCTTCATTCACTCAACGCGAAGGTTAATAAGCTGAAATCATGACGTTCTTCGGATTTTCCCAGCGTCAAGAGTGGCGTGTTGCAAGGTAGGACAAAAAATAGCAAAACATCGCGAAGACAGAGAAGATAAAGCTGGGCTTTGTTTTGGAACCTAACATCTAAACAGACTGCAATTGCAAGTCCGAAAGATTCTAATACGACTCAATGACAGCTCGAACGCTCCGCAGGGGCAACGATCAAAACGTAAATCGTGTCACACAACACACTCCGACAACAAACTCACATGTACACACGCAACACGCATCAACTCAGTCTGCTTACTGCAATAATTCTGCAATGCTTGCGCGCTTGAAACCAGTTGATCCAGCGTTAACCTAAAAGCGACCGGCTGTCATACGACTTATTTATTTTGAATCATTTTTAATATTTTAAAAAATGTCGCGTAAAATAGCTCGTGATTTATCCACCATTGATCTTTCGAGTGATATAGAATTGAAAAATGATCTGACATTCTCTCTGATGGGCTTATCGCAGCCTGTTTTGAAAGGTCTACTGACTTGCGGATTTCACAAACCCTCTCCTATCCAATTTAAATCCATCCCCTTGGGACGATGTGGATTTGGTAAAGTAACATTTTGCGGATTTTGGCTCTCTTCTGAATTATTAATCGTTATATTTTTTATCATGTATTTTTTTTAGATTTAATTTTAAAAGCCAAGTCAGGAACTGGTAAGACTGCAGTTTTTGGCGTGATTGCTTTGGAAATGATTGATACTAGCATAAATCAAGTTCAAGTTATAGTAATAGCTCCTACTAGAGAAATAGCCATTCAAAATCAAGAAGTTATTTCAGCAATTGGCTGTGAAATAAAAGGTAAATAAATTTCATAATTTAAATTAATTTTAAAAAACAAACTCACAAGTGCTTGTTACTGTTCAGGTTTAAAAGTTTGTAAATTTATTGGTGGTAGACCAATTAAAAATGATAAGAAAATTATTGGCAATTGTCATATTGCAATTGGAGCTCCCGGAAGGATAAGGCATTTGATTGAAACAAACATTCTTCAATCGAACGCAATTCGTCTTATTGTTCTTGATGAAGCTGACAAGTTGCTAGAAGACAGCTTTCAAAAAGATATCAAGTATGTTATTTTCAAAAATTTTAATAATAAATTTCTCAAATGAAGATGAAAATGAGTTAAAAATAATTATATTTTTTAATTTGTTTGTTTAGCTTTGTATTTTCAAAACTTCCTGAAAATAAACAAGTTATAGCAGCTAGTGCTACTTATGCTGATGGTTTAGAAAATTTTTTAAAGACTTATATGCAATCGCCTAAGTTGTGTTGTCCAGATGATGAAGGATCCATACCATTAGGTTTAAAACAATTTGTTTGCATATTGCCAAGTCATCCACTTGAACAGAGACAACGTCAAATTAAGATTGAAAAATTAGTAAAAATTTTGGAAAAAAATTTTTTCAAACAGTGCCTTGTTTTTTCTAATTATCAAATTGTGTACGTACCAATGGTATAATATCTCTGTTTACAGAAACTTCTTAGAACTCATTATTTTCTTTTTTTCAGAGCTCAATCAGTTTCTAACATGTTGAAAAACACAGGCTTAGGTAAGACTATTGATTCTATTAATGGGAGTCAAACGATGGAAAAAAGAATTGATTCTATCAAGAAATTAAAAAGCACTGAAAATAAAATTATAGTCACAACTGATGTATTAGCTAGAGGAATAGATGCCCAAAATGTTGATTTGGTTATAAATTTAGATATTCCTAGAGATTTTAATGGTAAAAGTGATCCTAGTGCAACTTATATACACAGAATTGGCAGAGCCGGGCGTTATGGGCGTCGTGGATTAGCTATTAATTTAATTGCTGAAAAAGAGTTGAATGATTTTCAAAATTTGCTGTCATCTGTTGGTGGTCCAGATTATTCAATATTTAAATTACCTGAAAATTGTTCAGAAAATCTTTGGAATGATGCAGATGATGTGTATGAAAGAATACATGCTGTTAAAAAAATAGATCAAGAAAACAACAAAACAAAAGAAAAAAAAGATACTTCATTTGAAATTATTAAAAAAAATAAGCCTAAGAATGATACAATTACGGACAAAGGAGTTGATAGTTTGAAAAATTCAAATAATTCAAGTGATGGGTCAAAAGAAAAATACAAATCTTTTCAAAATTCCTCTCGTTGGAAAGAATACTGTCATACAGATAATTTGCAAGAGTTAAAAATTTCTCAGAGTGATGATCCATCTTTAACTGAAAGATTAAACGAGGGTGTTAATTTTGGATTTAATTTTCATAAAGTTCCAAAAGGTAAATTATCAAAAACTGAAACAGATGATTTAACATCTTTTTTCAACATTAAGTACAAAAGAAAAAGTACCCATAATAGCTCTAATGATAGTTTAGCATTTGAAATAATACATGAAAGGGAAACTTTGAATGTTGAAGAAATAGATATACAAAAAAGTATTGCTGAATTGAAAAATCACTGTGATAATTTCATATTTGAAACACAAGATTTCCAATTTCTATTAAAATTAAAAAATAATTTAGGAAAAAATTCATTTTCATCTTCAGAAGACCCTGCTGAAGACTCAAATATTTATAAAGCAGCTTGTTGGAAGAACAAACTCAAACATGAATTAAACTTGTTAAGAAAACTTTTTTTAAAAACCAAACAAGATAATGGCATACATACTCTAAACTTTTATGAAGCTCTACATCATTTTTACTATATGCAACAAAAAGCACTTATGTGCATATATCCTGAAATCAGAAATGAAGAAGAAATTAAAGATACATACCTTTATTCAGAAGACAATGCCAATATCAATCTATTAAATATGTATGGAGAAATTGAAAACTTTAAAAGTTTATATCGTAATTCAGATTTTAAAGAATTTTCTTCTTACTTTCCATATCCTATGAAAATTGGAGAATCATTACCCAATCTCATGATGAGTGAGAATGATATTAAAAAATATAAATTATGTGTTGAATTTTTAAAAAACAACTCAGAATTTTTCTCAGAATGGTTCAAGATAAGAACATTATTGAATGGTGTTAATAATGAAAAAATCAAACAAATGATTGAAAAAAGTATTATTTCAGAACCAAATATAAGCTATGTTAAGTTATGTTCCATCTTTCATAATAATACTGTTGAAGATAATAATGTAGTAGACAGTAGTGATTTTTCTGAAAGCGAAGAATTGAATTCTGATACGTCAACAACATCTGAAAAAAATAATAATGGAAGTGACATTTCTGATGTACAGATCTTAGGTGAAGAATTAAAGATTGTCTCATTGAGCACAGACAATATTTCATCTGGAAAAAGTGTGAGTTGTATCCAAAAATTATCTAAAGAAAGTGATGAAAGTGATGGAAGTGATGGAAGTGATGGAAGTGATGAAAACTGCTTCAATGAAAATGTAAATACTCCAGTTGAAAATGTTGTTAATGAAGAATTGAATCATAATGCTTACACCTCAATGCTTCAAGATAATGCTTTTAGTTCTAATGTATATAATAATTATGCCCGTGAAAACAGAGAAAATAGTGAGATTCCATACAATAATCAGCTGTATCTGTCAAATAATATTCATGTCAACCACTCTTGTTATGGAAACATTAATTATGGTGAATCGTCAAACAGTGAAGATCATGAACTTGATCTTTTCTTTTCAAATTTAAGAATCCAAACTAATCAAATTCATATGCAAGAATATACCTATCATATGTTTAACGAAATGTGATAAATTAAGTATTTTCATAAGGTTCAATAAAGTTTATTTTTTTATAATAATATAAATAAATGGAAACAATTTTTTCTTAAAAGATAATCCTTTTGCATTTTGGCATTTTTCGATTACTTCTTAATGACATACTCGTCAAGTGCTTGCTTTGATTTTCAGTTTATTCTAATGCTACCAAATTTTATGAAATGAATATTAAATCATAAAATCGGTAAGCATTTGAAAACATGCGATTGTTTACCTTTTATTGCAATTCAGCCGGCTTCCGTAAGGTGGCGAGGTTCCGATCTACTCGCTGCACTCGTCCGCTGTCCCTGTCTGCAATCTGCACATGTGCTTCTTGTCAATTCACTAGCAACTCCGAACTTGAACTTAATTGATGCGATTCGGGTAATATGATATATGATTAAATTCAATTAGCTGTACAATGTCAAATAAATGTGTGTCACCATAGTTTTTGTCAATATATATGTTTTGACTTTCATAAGCCTATAACCTCAAACTGCAGCCAACTAGAAATTCGCAGTTAAATATTATAAATATTATGTTACAGTGGTCTATTGAAGTTGAGATTTGTCAATCATTTTTTCCTTTCTACTCGCAAAATGAGTATTTTTCTTCAAAATACCAATCCAATGACAGGTGTTGTAGGGTGGGAAGAGAAGGATCCAGATTATGATTACTACCAAGAAATTGCTCGATCTGCATTTGCTGATATGTTACATGATCATGAAAGAGTAAACAATAAATTTTATTGATTTGATGCAACATATAAAATTCAGATATATATGTTTTATATTTTATTGTATAACAGAATTACAAGTATTATTTGGGCCTCAAAGCTGCTATTAATGCTAAACATGCTGCAGGAGAGAAGGCTCATGTTCTTGACATTGGTACTGGAACTGGATTATTATCAATGATGGCTGCTAAATTAGGAGCAGATAGCATTGTTGCCTGTGAGGTTGGTTTGAAATGTTCATATGTCTTTCATCATTGGGAATTGACATAAATTATTAACGCATAAAAATACATTTTTAGGCTTTTAAACCAATGGCTGAATGTGCTACAAAAATCATGAAAGAAAATGGTTTCGGTGAAAAAATTGAATTAATTTACAAAAGATCTACTAAGTTGACAGTAGGAGAAAATGGAGATCTTAAACATCGTGCCAATATTTTGGTAACTGAAGTTTTTGATACAGAGCTGATAGGTGAAGGAGCACTCTCAACATTTAAACATGCTCAAGAAGTCCTCTTAGATGTATGTAGAGTTAGTTACAGTAAATTACAGTAATTTGTGTTTAAAAAATGATATTCAATTTTTTATTTTTTTAGAGTAATCCTATTGTGATTCCAAGCAGTGCAACAGTTTATGCTCAAGTAATTGATAGTTCTTTGGTGAAAGGATGGAATAGAGTCAATTGCATCAAAGATAAAATTTCCTCAAATGAGTTATTAAAAGTTCCTAAATGTACTCAATCGTGTTCAGGAGCTTCAGCTGTGCATGACATACAATTATCACAGTTGCCATATGGCTCTTTTACCCCTTTGAGTGAAGCAATACCAATATATCAGTAAGCATAAAGTTTTAAATTTCATTTTTGATGATTTAAAATTAATCAAATTCTGTTTGAAATTAGGTTTGACTGGACAGGAAAAGTTCCTTTAAAATTTAATGAAAATGCTGAATTTTCTATAAAACCAATTAACAAAGGTACAGCTCATGCAGTTTTTATTTGGTGGGACATTGTTATGGATATGCATGGTGAAGTAAGGACATCTATTTCGTGATAATTTGATTTTTTTAAATATATTATAACGAAATGGAATTATTCAAAAATCTTTTTTGAAATTAGGTCTTGTTGAGTTGTGCACCTGTGTGGAATCACCCAGATGTACAGGAGAAATTGAAGAAGCAAAAAAATTATGAAAAATTAGTTGATGAAATTCCATGGAGAGATCATTGGATGCAAGCTGTATATTATCTTCCTAATGATTTAAACATGCACCCAGAAACAGAAGTATATCTTACTGCCTCTCATGATGAATATTCATTCTGGTTTTCTTTAAATGAAAACAAAGGGTAATAATATTGATTTCATAAAACAATAAAATAATAAATGAAAATCTTGGTTCGAAATTAAAATTATAATTTTTTTTTTCAGGATCACAAATACTGGCTTGGACAGACCTGTATGCGAGTGCTATGTACATTTAGCTCTATCTAGAACACGAATTGGGCAGTGGAATAATGAGAGTAGAAATCAAAAATATTTACAAGCTATACAGAATAAAGTTCGACCAGATGCTACTTGTCTCTGTCTATCCGATTCTTCTCTTCTAGGTCTTTCAATAGCAAATATGAATATTAAAAAATTGTATATTTTGGAAACAAAACCACTTTCAAAGAGAACAATAGAAATGTTTATAAATGCAAATAACTTAGAAGAGAAAGTTTCTGTAATTGACTCAGTGGACAAGTTACCAGCATTTAGTGAATTTGATTTAATTTTTGGTGAACCTTATTTTGTCACTTCGATTCTACCTTGGGATAATTTTTATTTTTGGTATCTTATATCTAAAGATTCTAAAAATATACCAAGAATACCAGAAAAAGCAGTTATAAAAGGAGTAGCAGTTGAATTTAGAGATCTTCATAAAATTCGTGCTCCTTTGGGAATTTGTGAAGGATTTGATATGACAATGTTTGATGATTTGGTAAAGGTAGAAAAAAAATTTTAAACAAATTTTTTGAATTTGTTATTACAACCAATACCTTTTTTTGCAGTCTTCAAGCGATAAAACTGACAGTACAGTAGAAGCTCAACCCCTTTGGGAATATCCTGGTAAAGCCTTAACTGAAGCATTTAGTATTAATAGTTTTGATTTTTGTCAAAATGTAGAAAAATCCAGTTGTACTGAATCTCAAACAATAATTCGATTTTCTGAGTGAGTATTAAAAAGTTCTAAATTGATTGGAATTTTTATAAGTTAAAATAACTTATTAATTATTAATTCTCATATGACTTTTAATTTCAGGAGCGGAAGTTGCAATGGCATAGCTTTATGGGTAGATTGGCATTTGGATCAAGACAATGAAATTGTAGTTTCATCTGGTCCAATTGTAAAAATTATTCCTGGTGAACGTTTGTCCTGGGATCCATATACAAGACAAGGAGTTCATTTGCCTTATGAAATTAAAAACGTTTCTTCTGAAAATTCATTGCGTATAAGGCACAAATTTAATCCAAAAGAAGGAACAATGCATTTCAATTTTGAAATTATATCTGATAAAGATTGCTAATGAAACAAACTAAAAAAGAAACAAAAATTATTCTGTTATTGATGTATGTTTAATGATTTAAAAGTAGTTTTCATAACTTTTTGTACAAAAATTGAACATTTTTAATCAATGCAAAGTCACATTTGATAATATTACTAATATAAGTGTACAAAATATTTAACTAAATAAAATTTGTAAATATAAATATGTATGTATGTAATAACAGTTTTTGTTTAACAATCTTTTTCAAGTTTTTGAGTATCAGGTATTGTTTTTAATTGTTTAGCAAGTCTTTTCCCTATGAGCTTTGGATAACTTTTTTGTTTCACTAAAAATTCTTTACTTTGATGAGTTACTGCTCCATTATCTAGTTGAAATCTATAGAAAAGAATATTTCACATTTAATCATTGAAGTTTTAGTTAAAAAATAAATTTACAAATAATACTTACTTGCATAAATGTTTTAAAGGACCTAGCATTTCATTTCTAATTGATGGATTATTTTCCACTATTGAAAGTGCAAAAGCACCTGTTTCAAGAGTTGATAGACATCCTTCTGCAGGTTGTGTTCTTATAACATATTCACTTGTTGGTACATCCACAAGTTTACAAGAGCGCATTTTTTTTAAAGTTGGACTTGCAGTATACATGGCCTGAAATATAAATATAATAACTGTTTGGTAATCAAGCAATCAATAAATCATAGGCATACCTTAGCTTGCGGCCAAGTTCCATCCAGTAGAACTAAATTATAAGGCTTTTGATTATCTATTCCTACAGCATTTACTTCATTTAATGGCACTGCATCAGGGGATGGATAGAGCAGAATTGTGTTAGGATCATTTAAAATTTCTGCCAATCCGTTATGTTTCGTCATGCTAGGAAACTTTTTACCACTGATTGATGAAATAAAAATCAAATTAGTATTATACATCAGAAAATGTAGAAATCAAGTAAGATTTACATGTAAGTTAAACATTTTTCATTTCCAAGTGAAAGAGTGAGCATTGGTGCTGTCCTCAGGCATCGTTTGACTTCCGCTGGGTGCTGCAGTATAATTATTCTTGAAGCTGGATTCAAAGGCTGTTTGGGTAAACCAGGACACCAACACACACCAGAAGGACGTCTGTAAATAATGATATATCATTTAAATAATCAAATGATTGAAAGAAAATTCACAAAAACAAACCTGCACTGAGAACACTTGTCACGCATTTTAGGAGGATCCGGCGGTATTTCCGAAAGTTCCTCCCAAATGCCACCTTCCTCGGCCATTCTGGTAATTATTTTTTAATTATTAAGTATCAAAACTTTGATTATACGTCGTTTTCAACCCACGCATGTCAACTTCACAGCTGAGAAGCATGACTTTCTGCTGTGGAGTAAGTCATCGTGTGATTTAAAGTTCTTGTATTTGTATACACACTGCTAAAGTTGCGGCACATACCGGCTGTATTTCGGCGACTTAATTTTTCAAAACAAGATTCTAACATAACTGTCAACTTTGAATTCTCGATAGAAATGTGTAGTTTGTAGCAGACTTAACATCTGAGACTGATAGTAAACGTAAACTAGTTTTGATTACATGTTTTTTTTTTGATTGATTCTTGCTATTCGCAATGAAATGAGTAATAATCGCGTGTCTATTTACATTATTGAAAATCGATAAAGTAGAAATACAATGTAAAATGCTTAACGAGTTCAAATTGAGCTCGCTAGAGGCAGCACAAGTCATAGTCAGGTCAAAGTGTTAAGACGAATGAAATTAAGCGTTTACATTGCTTGGAATCAAATGATTTTTTTATTTTAGGAGTTGTAGGTATAAAAACGATGTGAAAGAATAACCCTGCTAATGTTGTTTTTTCATTTCTATTTTTGTTATTTAATACAAATGTTGTTTCTACATTGATAAAATAAAAATAATGTAAATTTCATATTCTTTCCTGATTAATAAGACTTTAAAAGGACAAATCAATACAGCAATGGTAAAATTTTTTCATTGTTCATCATATAATACAACTTCTTCAAAGCTCGCGTGAGCAAAAAAAATGATTAAACGCTGAATTTGATGCATTATGACAGTGAATTTAAATTTATTGTCGAAGAATTCCATAAACACATGGAAGAATAAGTTATATTGTGTAAAATGCATAAAAGCTGCAAGCTTAGACATTACTATTTAGCGATCTTTTCTATAGAAGAAGTTATTGATGCTGCTAAAGGAGCATAATGTGTATCAAATTCCAAGTTTGTTACGCGTAAAATATTTTAATTATCTAGAATAATGCTTATACAAAAATGAAAGAGCTTTCACGAGCTTTGGCTTTGATCCGCCATGAAAATGTTATATAAATCTTCGTTCACCAATGATTTGTCGATGATCATGTCGTAGCACTCGAGCTGCAGCTGATAGTGAATTAGTTTTATCCAGGGCCCATCGACGGGAAAACCTTCTCGATAGTTTTTCAACCAGATGCATGACACAAGCATCTGCATACTCGTAGGGCAGATAATTGAATTTTTTCGAGCGGCAATCGAAATGATCTTTATCTGTTTGACTTCTCTTACAAAATTTTTATAGTTGCACCAGCATTTTGCAAAATTCGACGATTTCTCGAACAATCCTTGCTCTACGAATGGCCTCATGATGGTTGAGGTGTTACTTCGGACAAGTATACGTACTAGACTCAAGACTTTCGACGAGGGCCAGAACCCCGGACGCTACTCTAAATTTAAAATTAAACGACTTTTCATGTTCTTGTTGTCTCAATGCCTCGATGAAGTGACTAGCGGAGAAAACGTATCAAGACATGATCCAAAAGTACGTCAACAGAATTTATCGCAAGATTTTTCACGGCCCGTTGTAGTCATCGTGGCCCATGGTGTCCGACCCCGCATGTTCGGTAAAATACTATTAATTTAGAGCTATAAATGCTGCGGATCGCGAAATGTGTGTGTATGGCGATTTTGACACGAAACTAAATGATAATGTTAAAAAGATTTTTCATGATAATTGATAATAAGAAATAATCAATTTTACGGTCTATTCTACCCACTTTCGGCAGAAATAAGAAAGAAAGCAGAAATAAAGATAATTTATCATTGAATGAAGGGTCTTTTATTAATAAACAAATCGTCAAAAGAGAGTAATCATAATTTTATCGATGTCTCTTTTACTCTGCACTATAAAAAATCATGATAAAATGCGATGTCGGATGACACAAAGCCAAAATAAATCATAAAATTGTCAGTAACCTTTTTTTTTGGAAAGTACTACATTTTTTATTCCAAGAATGCTTCAAGTCCTGAAATTTTTCAATAAATGTTGAATCAAATACATTAAATACCAAATTTAAAGTGTAAAAAAAGTTCTTATATTCAAAACGATCATTAAATATTCATGAATTTGAGAATATTTCAATTATAAAACACACTTAGATCTTTTTCTTGATACTCAATTTCAATCATCAAGCCAAAGATTAATAACTCAGTAATGAACTGCTCGAAAAACTTAATTACAAAAAAAAAACCCAGTCGCGTCGAGAGCTCGAAGATTAAATCATCCCATCTGCCACATCGCCAGCCAAACGTACATGCGATCGTAGACGCGCTCCTCCGCTCTTTTTTTACATTTATATATGATCGACGTTGATGAAGTCACACCACCGCGTAGTATAAAATATAGCTGTCTCTTATTTCGTCGCCCATCATCGTCTTCGCGAGCTCGTCAGTTCTCCGCGCTCTGCGCCATAACGATAATAACAACAATAATAATAATGTGAAAGTCGTTGCTCTCATCACTGCCGCTGCCGTTGCTGGCTCGTCGTCGCATAAATTGAAATGCTAAAAGAGCTTAAGAAATCGGCTGTGGAAATTAGGGAGCTTTTCCCAAAGTCACATCAGTTGCAGGAGTCTCGCGCGCGCAGACTAGAAGGACACGAAACAGACGCGAGGAGAAAAAAAAACGAGAGAGAGAGAGAGAACGAAATAGGACAGTGATTATACGCCTGCGAGGCGCGAGGGCTTCGTTTTTCCACCCGTGCGTTTCTCTCTCTCTCCCTGTAAAGAAAAAAAAATGCGGTACATACACAGCCGTGGGTGATGCTTTTTTTTATACGTGCCGAGACTGTATATATAGCTATATACACATTAACAGGAGGACGGCATTAACCCTCGGCGCGCAGGGAAGAAAAAAGGATCGCGAGGAAAAGATGGTTGGATATACACAGCAGCAGCGCAGCGGCAGCGCGGCAGTGCGGGGTTGCAGGAGTCAAAAGCAGCAGCAGAGGCAGGAATTCCAGGGCTCGCTCTCGCTCGCTCGCTGCGGAAAAGAGAGAAAAGAGAGCGAAAAGGAAGGAGTCGTCCGGGGCTCAGCCCTGTATAACGATAGTAGTACACCCCCCTTGCGTGGAAACGCGCGGAATTCGCCTAGCGAGCTGCGTCGAGTCGCTCTGCTCTGCTGTGCTCCATCCTGCAGACTCTACTATATATATGTGTATATAACGCAGACTACGCGACGACGGTGGGTGGACGGAGCGCCCGGGAAAGAGAGAGAAAGAGCCATGAATTGTGCATAGCTGTATACGGAGTGAGAGAGAGAGAGAGAGAGAGAAAGAGAGCGCAATGGAGGGTAGAGCGCTTAAAAAACTCTCGAAGGCGGATCCCTCTCTTTTCTCTGCGCTGCGCGCATTTGCTGGGGGTACAGCAGCCGCGCTCTATACTAACGTGCATATACCATACATACACACACATATATAGCGCCCCCACTTTAAGTGGGGGAGCTCTACGGGGGAGAAAAAGAGAGAAAGAGAGAGAGCGAAAAAAAGGCAGGCCGCCTTCACTCGGAGCAACGGCGCAGCGGCAGCAGCTAGCTCTCGGGACGTAAAATATTCTTAATGAGCAAAGACTTTCAAGTATTGACTCAAAATGGCAGACGCTCTTTCAAGTCGGCTTGTTAAGCATTACTTGGCTTTCTCTTTTATATATATCTCTCTCTAGCTATCTCACCCTCGGTCCGCGAGCGCACGGATCTCTTTGGCTCCTTTCTTTGCAGCAGCAGCAGCAGCAGCAGCAGGAGGCAAACCAGCCCCCAAGGAGCCGTGCGTGCGCGCGCGCGAGCCGAGGCATCCTTTTTTTCCTTTCTTCTTCGTCTTCTTCTTCTGACTTCTTCTTTACAGTGCTATATAGTCGCGCAACTGCACCCTATCCACTCGCTCTACCCCCGTCGCGTCCATGCGCCGAGTTACTTTTTCGCCCTTATAATACTGTACAATCGCCGCCGCCCCCGCGGCCAGACGTGCGCAGGATTATGCATGTACTCTGCCTTGGCTTCGTCCTTTCTCTCTATCTCGCCTTTACGCTTTATAGTTGGCTTTATCGACTTCTTTTCTCCTTTTCGATAAAATATACCCAGCCCGGCTGTATCTACCCTTCGAGAACTTTGTGTACTCGATATATAGATATTATATACGGCAAAAAACCCGAGGCTGCGGCCGTCACTTTTTTCCTTCCCTTTTCTTTTCCGCCCGATCTCGCTCATCCCCTGCTTCGCGTTTACTCTTTTGACCCCTCTTGTCTTACGTGACTTTTAACCCATCTTTACTCATCTTTTTGAGGCTCTTTGCTTCCTTTTAGCTTCCACGAGGTTCCACGTTTTGTTTGGCAGAGTATTCATCCTTAAACCAGCCACCGTGGAAGAAAAAAAGTATAGAATCTTTCTGAGACTGTAAAAAACATGCGGGAAAAGTACGATTTTTTTATATCATACTGATGTAAAAAAGATTTCATCCTTGGTTGATTTTTAAGTAGGTGTTTGAAAAATGACATCAGCCTTGGAAATAATTTAAAAGCACGAGAGGAAAATTTATCGAAAACCAAGGACGATGGGCGAATTATAAAGTATTAGTTGAACACGATGAGTAACAGATTTGAAATAGCCGTTTATTAAAATCATTGAAAATTTTAATTATGGAAAGAAGAATGAGAATTTAAATTAGTTGAAAAAATAATCTCCTTGAGCCCACGTGGAAATATTCACGACGATATTAAATACGATGATTCGATTTCAAGCTTTCATCACTAGATGGCGAGTACCTTTATCTGTAAATCTGCAAGTATCAAAGTCAAAGTCTTTGCATAAGTTAAAGTACATTCATTCAATCATTCGCAGAAAATTCTTCTATTATGAATCTGTTTTCTGGTTCGTCTTGGGCCACCGTTAAAAATTATTCAAATTAACTGAAAGTATAAGAAATGATATTAAATTTTTATTTGTCAAGTTGTCGATTACTAATTTAAATAAATTGGAAATTTGAAATTCCGCAATTAGGAATTAAATTTAATTCAATTCTCAAGCTGAGCATAAGATAAACTTTAGCTACTTGCATCACATTTTTCTAGGATATACTATCCGATTGAAATAAATAAATGAATACAATTCGTCGAATTAAATAAATGAACAGTATATTCAAAGAAAAATTGTTCCATTTTGAGCCTTCACCACTAGATGTCGAGTACTTTTACCTGTAAATCTGCAAGTGGTAAAGTCAAAATATTCGTATAAGCTGGCGAAGGGAAATAATTATTGAAAATGTATTTATATGGTAATTTTC